GGCCATCGCAGATACTGAGCCCCAGACCGACATGGAGAGGGGTTCACTCTCTGTGGCGGATGCCCCCACGTCTTGACTGCCGGCCGGCAGGTCAGTGGACATGGGGAGTTCCTGCTCCGACAGGCTAGCTTGGCGTGCTAGCCTTCGGCGGAGGCTCTTTACGGTGAAGCAGACACAATGTCCGCACGAGCCGGGGTTGTCGATAGCGCCTCGGGCGTGTTCCAGCCCGAGGCAGGACGAGCAGACCTGGTGTGTGTCTGTGCCCGAGATCTTCAACCCGCAGCCGCAGAGTCGAGCCACCGAGTCCCTGACTCCTCTGGTGTGAGGGAGAGGGGCGTCCATCTTGTTCGCCTCGTGGCGTGGAGAGGACCCGCTCTCAACAGGTAGGTCGGGAGAAAAAGAGGTTACCACCCTGTCCTTAATCCGGAGAAAAGGACGGTGTGGGTCTTTTATTCCCGGAGAATACTGACTGTTGTGGCAGTATGCTCCTTTTAATCCTTTCCTCCTCCGTGGGGAAGAGAAAAGAAAAAAACGTCCTCGCTACCGTGGTGTCGGTAGTGAGGGAGCAAGCTAACGCTAGCTTGAAAAAGTCAGACCTAGCTTACTTTCCGGGGAAAGAGAGCGGCGAGGTCGATTTCAACAATAACTAGCGTTAGTAATTACCGTCTTCCTGCGAAGCAGAAGGAGTAGCCGGCAAGCGCCCGTCGACCGAAATGGATATTTGGGTTCAGTCTGTGGACCGTTAAGCTTGTCCGGCTACCATAGAGATGTGCTCTGAAGCGAGAAGAGGTGTTTGAATGGTGCATGCGTCGTGGCGCAAGCTACTTATAGGGGGTGATTTCCCTGACGCTGACGTCAAGATCACCAGCCAATCAGGATTGGCGTAATGAGATTGATGCTTCTGTTTTCTCCGCGATGAGGCGCATCCCATAGTGAGACATCGAACGGAGTGTTATGAATGAGAACTTCACAGGTTTGGTAACAATGCAGCCATCAACGCATCTAAGCGTATTATGGGGTGTCATCAAATGTCGTTGCCATGGCGACAGACCACTCGCCATGAAACACGATGTGGCTGTAAGTCCAATCGACACGGTCCAATCGTCCCACAATCTTCACTTGTATATCACCGGTCCATGCCTCAACTGCTCTACGCCAAATCTGAGATCTCACCATATGCCGTTTCCATGGAATCCCTCGCCATAAAACGTGATGTCGCTATAACTCCTATGAAAATGTTTAAAAAGTGCTCAAACTTCACATTTGTGCTAACAGTCCAGCCGTGAAGACATCTACAGGACAGTTTTGAGATTTCTTTAAATGTCGTTGCCATGGCAACACAATGCTCCCCATGAAACACGGTTTTCTCATAACTTCAGTGAAACTGCTCCAAACGCCCCAAAACTTCACAGGTTTGGTAACGATGCAGCCATCAACGCATCTAAGCGTATTATGGGGTGTCATCAAATGCCGTTGCCACGGTGACAGACCATTCGCCATCAAGTTTTTGCATATTTGCAGTTCAAATATTCTGCTGCTTTTCCAAGCCTTTTTACTTTATTTTCTTCTCTTATCACACATTCAAGCCCCCAGTGTTCATGTATCATTTCAATCTAAATTCTTCACTTTCTTCTTACACATTTCATTTCAATCTAAATTCTTCACTTTCTTCTTACACATTACATTTCAGCATAGCAGTTTAGCGTCAGCTTTTCAGCATAAAGCATTCCCACTAGCAATTTCTTCAGGAATTGCATTCTCTAGTTATAACTAGTGTTTTGTTTTTTTACTGTTCGTCAAACTAAACTTAAATTGTATTAAGATGTAACCTTGGACTATGGGAATATTTCCTTATTATCTTTCATTGTACTAAACAATTGTTCAATCAATCAAAAATAGTTGGTGCAACATACAGTATATGGAAACAAATCCAAACAATTCCTTGAAATCAAGAATTAAAAGCCATCTTTATAACCTCATTCAAGAAATTGAGTGAATAATTGCTCTATAGGAATAAATCAAATAAATGATGGTCAACACTCATGTGTTTGTTATGTATTTATTACGCATTTCACCGGATAGATCAATTTGTTGGCTCTAGAGGCCAGACTTTGCCAAATGACCTGCTCTAAAATTATGCATATTTTCTATATTCCTCATCAGCTTTATTGGAAGAGACTCTAGGTCCATTTTTAAAAGACATACAACACTCAAATATAAATAAAAAAAGGCAGATATACCAATATTTCCACAGAGGTGACTGGTATCGTACAGTACTGAGACACGGATTTAATATTGAATGGGCTGCCATTGGTTTTCTCACAGTAGATCAGAACTACTACAAATAATGTATTCAGGACCTCATTAAATTTGCCACAATGTTTAATTCATTGACATTTTAATGTATATACATCGTAAGCATTCACTTTCAGAGCCTTATTAAATGTGTGACTTCCCCAATCTCCCATGTGAATCTCAGAAGAGGTTAGAGGTGGCGTAATGGCTGTTTCATGTGTCCCTACATTATAGTAACTTGCCAAGTCAACAGAAAGCTAATGATGTCTATTTATAAAGGAAGGGGCACCCATCCAGGATATAACCACACAGTACTGCCGAAGCCCTTCAGCCCTTTGTTATTATTTTACGAGTCCCCTGTGGCCCTGGAAGGTGCAGGAGAGGAGACGGATTCTGGAAGATCTAATTAAGCAAAGCCAAATGAGAGTCGAGATCCTCAGCCCTGGACAGGACACAAATCAGGTGCAGTTGACATTGTGCCGCAGGGCAATGGGGCGGCTACTCTAGCCTCCAGATAATGACTGCCTCTACCTCACCTTGCTCCTCAGCTTAACTTTCTTTATAGCCCGGGGTTAAGGGGTGTGAATCTCTCTCTCATTATGGTAAACATTAGTGTTACGTCCCCACTAAGGTCTAGGGGACCTGGAGACAATAACATACAACCAATAATTACTGAGGGAGTCAGCGTAACAGTTTACAAAACAGACATATAACTGAAACACTCTGTTGGTGAGGAGGAGGAGTCAAAGAATTGCGCCAAACAAAAGAAACAAGCATAACAAAACCAGGCCTATCTCTACATCTATCCTTTGAAACCAAAACTCAAACAAAAACCCTCACTAACTAAACTACGAAGAAGTTGACAAAACAATATACAGGGGTGGCAACAATCCGCTAACCTAGTGTGTCTAAACATTAGTTAGCTACGTGGTGAGAAATGTACAGGGTACCCCAGACTTACCTAACTCCTCCACCTCTCAACACACACACTTTCAAAAAGATCAGACAATACAAAGAGAATTAGTTGCTAAACACTGCAGTCTATTGCAGGCTCCTCAATCAGCAACAGGCCCAGAGTGAGAGAGAGAAGACTTCCTGGGTGCCTCCTTTATGGTCGGCCCTGGCTGCTGATAGGCCAGCTGAGGGTGAGAAGATCCAATCAGCCATCAAACTCAGGTGCACAGGCAGATACCGATCAGCTGCTGATTAGCTGTGCAGAAGATAGGGAGAAGAGAGAAACACAGGAGGGAAGGAAAACCACACAAGTACAGCCTGCCTGGCACGTAACAATTAGCCTGTGAATGTACGCGTTTTGTCTTGTTTGCTCTTAAAGAGGTAATTAGTGTTTTCTAAGTAGCTAGGTAGAGATGGTGAAAACTAAGATGACTCTATCAGGTGTCTTGTTCTATACCAAGTCAATGGAGTGGAAGAAAAAAGGCTATTTTTCTCTGTGCCTGAAGAGCAAACAAAAGTTCTTATACAGTAACTCCTCATGGATTTGGATGTGGAAGTAAATAATGTATCTGTCTGGCAACTCAGCATGCGCATGCTATTCCATTTGAGTGGAGAATAAATGTCTTCAGGACACCTGTGTCTTGTCTCTCGGGCTTGTTTCTGACTGAGAACAGAAAGACCTTGGAGTACATAGACAACTGGCTTGATTATGTGAGTACACAGGAAGGTCTCCCAACATTGTTGTGCTAATCACGTTAGCGGGCACAGACTCAAGGCGGGACAGATGCTAGACAAAGGGCAATAGGGTTATGTTGTCCTGATTAGAGGGGGCTTTGGGGGGTTTGGCGAATCTCGTTTCCTACCTCAGCGTCACCTTGCGGAGGGAAAACTGCCATCAGGTCTTTTTTGTCCCTTAGTCTGCTTTTCCTTCCATCTCTCAGGTGTGTCACTCTTTAGTAGTGTCGTAGCCAGCACAGATTGTGTGTTTTGAGTCACACACATTTATTTTCCTGTTATCAACCGCCTACACATATAACAATGAGTTGCAGGAGAACATTTTCATTTTTTCTCCTTGTGGATTCACACTGCTTAGAGATGTTAAAAGCGGATTTGTTCCTTTGTGAGATGTTTTACTTGTTCTTATAAGTCTGCTTAACACAAATCCCTCAGTGGCTCGTGTACAAACCTCCACAACTTATCTTTAAATCTAGTAACAGTTGAAAAACCTTTGCAATAGACATTTTCATGCTGATAATGTGGTTTAAAAGGCTTCAGGCAAAACTTTATTTAGAGAGGCGGAACTTGCTTTCTGATGTTTGGTAGAAAAGGAATTCTTGATTCAGAATTCAATCTGTCTTGATATAATACTTCTGGCAATTCAGCTGCTTTGTAACTTTTTACTTTCCTTTCACAACTTATGGGTAATGTCTGTTTTTGACGCTTTTATGACAGTCAGTGTAAAAGCCTATTATTTAATTTAATGATTTAAGATGTTAAAATATCGCCCTATATTAGCTGACACCTCCCAGTTAAAATAAACATACAGAGGAAATGTTTCAAAACCAATCTCCCTGACCTTAATTTTTCAGATAATTCCTTTTTTTTTCTGAAGCTGGCTAAGTATGCAAAGAAAAAGAAATGTCAACATACATGACAATGTTAACATATGGCAGAAGTGATAAACTGTTGCATTATCTCCCATAATAATGGAAAACTAAAAATAACTGCCGCATTTCTTCTGCTCCTTCCAGGATCCTACATGCTGGTGAACTCCTCCCAGCATGCCGTGGGTCATCGTGCTCAGCTGATGCTGCAGACGCTGAGTGAAAATGACACGCACTGCGTCCAGTTCAGCTACTTCCTGTACAGCCGCGATGGCCACAGTCCAGGGGGCCTGCGGGCGTATGTCCGAGTAAACGGGGGTCCGCTCGGCAGTTCGGTGTGGAACACGTCGGGGTCTCACGCTAAGCAGTGGCACCAGGTGGAGCTGGCTGTCAGCACCTTCTGGCCAAATGAATACCAGGTACAAACTCATAATCATAACAGTGATGACTAATTTATCTGTGATTTTATGAGAAGCTGAACAGTTGAGAGAGGATTGGTGAATCAGATTTGCAGACCCATGGACCCCCACATCTTGTGCAGTTGAAAAACAGCACACAGTTAGGCTCTGTTGAACACCACTCATTTTAGCCTAGAGGCATATCTGGTGTTAATTACTTGCATTTGCAATTTAATTAGCATTGATTCCCCTGTGAATGGAGCCAGCATTAGTGCTCGAAGGGCCCTAACTAGGTCTCTTGTGGCCATGCCCTGTGGAGATTTCACCCACTGAGGCTTGTGTTCTGTGTATTCACCTGACTAATACATTTTGTATGTCATTGCCTTCTTACAGTAGACAGACATTGACTGGCATCTACTGTTGGTGCCTGATGTGCTGTGGCCTGTAGATGGCACAGTCAGGTGAGCACATAATATACATCTATTAATCCAATTTATTTTTTCTGCAAACTCTGCAGAGCTGTCAAAAAACAATTAAATTGACTCGCGTGCATTTCATCAAGAACTGTCAATCCCCCCGACTTAATTAAAATCTATCTGGCTCTGCAGGATCTGACCTTCGCTATGTAAAAGATAGATGCAGGCTGACACTGTTCTCCCAACATCGCATGATCTAAAAATAAGGTAAACTATCAAATCAAGAGTATACAGAAATACTGACACGCAAACAATTTTGCCTATGTAGTCCATGCAGAGTCAGCGATTTCTGGACAATGTAACAATATATACACACTTGACAAACATGTTAATAATTGAGCTTTCGAGGTGCTGGTAGGGGATTTGTATTTATTTATCTTAAGCTTTGGAGAGCAAGGCTATCTGTTTTGCCCTGTTTCCAGTCTTTATGCTATGCTAAGCTAAGTTAACTACCTCCTGGCTCTCTATATCCAGCATACAGACATGAGAGTGCTATTAATCTTGTCTTTTAAGTCTTTGCGAGAAAGCAAATAAGTGTATTTCCCGAAATGTTCAAATATTTGTGGACAAAATAATCCTCTTTGTGTTATTTTGAAAGCATTGATACATGTATTTAAAATGAAAAAACTGACAGTAAGTCAAGTCAGCTATTAGAAATAGCTTTGAAATAAACTCTCAATGTGTAAAAAACTAAGTTACAGACTCTAGTGGAGCTGAGGCTACAGACCTTGGTTCTTTATATTCTGTTTATTGAGGTCTCAGCTGAGCAGCTACAAATGAGAAACAAGAGGCCTAGCTCTACTAATCAGTGCTCCTGCCAGTCACACTTCTTTTGAGCTCTGCCCTCATAAACCGGGTAGTGAGGATCCCCACCAGTAAAGCTCTTCATTAGCTCAAATCTGTTACAAATAATGAGGCATTTTCAGTGTGAATCATTATTTCTACAATAACCTTATTAAACTTCTTTTATTTTATATGATTCTCTTATGATACATTTTTTAAAATTGTGATGAAAACAGTGTTTTTGCTGCTGATGGATGCTCTGAGGTGTGATCTCTGATGGGCCTTACACAAAAATGATTGACAGTGTAGCTTTAAATAGACAATCCTTATCTGCTAGCAACCTTTCTTTTACCTCCTGTGGAGGAAAACACTATGTTCAAATGTATTATATTACATTTGTTAATATTAGGGATTTAGTCAAAGGTTTCTGCACCGTTAGAGCAATTCTGTCTAACGGTGAGGAATCAAAGCTATCCTTCTTTGCTTCCGCTCTCATTTTCACATTTTACTTTAACTCAGCTCAGCTCGCCTCGCAGTACAAAGAGAGCAAAACAAACTGCCCCCTCAAAGTCACATATACCACAGCTTACATTGCTAATCCCTCTGCAGTGAAAAAGCTCATCACTGTGGAATGACACAGCCTTGCAGCTCGTCAGCGCTCTCTGTTTCAGAGACAAAACAGAAAAGGGTAAATGTGGAGGTGTAAGGCTGAATGTTTTCTTTAATATCCTTTTAATGCTGGCTATCGTCTGTCCTTAACCAGCATCAGTGCAATAAAAAGAAAACAAAATAAGAAGAGCAGGGGTGTTATAGCTTTGTTGGTTTCAACACAGGTCTCTTGAAATTCACCCGGGGCTTTTTAGCTCTGAAGCACGTTAGATGCAGCTTGTGTGACTTTAAATACTAAGTCTTGTACAATCACTTTGGATTTGAAGTGATAGTCAGGCAGATTAACTCTGTCATTAAGCTATCATATAACTCTTTTGAAGCAAAGGGGGAAAATAGGCACTTTTCTGCTGGTAAAATAAATCCCAGGAGAACACACATCATTTCGGAGAGGGTTTTCAAATCTGAAGGTTTTTCTACCTTATTAGATTTTAAGTCATATTAAAGCTCCCTGTTCTTTGCCTACAGCACAGGGATACTAAATGTCAGCGTAACCTTTTGCACTGCACAGTACAGATGGCAGATTACACTCAAGGTTGATAGAGTGTAATGAAATATGTTTTTTACAGCGCACACAATCAATGTTCATGTCTTAGTAATGTCATTTTGGAATGTAAGTAAAAACACTCAAATGATTTAGCTGATAATCACCAAAACTTAAATAATGTATATGCCGAAACCCACTCTTCTTATTCTCTGATCACGTGACAAATGACATGAGATCTGTTTCCTATCACGGATGTGAAATTGGGATTTGGAGTTCAATGGATTTTGCGGTTGCAAATGTAAGAGAGCACAATCACCTTGAGATTTCTCGATTGAATATGTCGTGTGGGTCTGGTGTACATTGCTATATTTCTCTCTCTGCCTCTTATTGGTAAAAGTGTTTGCAATACCTGGAGAATCTTGTTATCAAATATTAAAGATGTTATCCAGCCCTCGAAGACTGCCAACTAGAGCAGGAGACATGTCCCCATCTTCTCTTTACAGTCTCTCACTTTCTTCTCTCAACACGGGCTCCTTCCAAATGTCAAAATCTTATTTGGACGTGCTTTTCTCCTTTCTAGCTTTACTTTCTCATGTTTATATTGCATATATTATTAATTCCATCTTTGACTGCCTACCCCCTGTTATAGATGTTCTTCATACTATGCTCACATGTCAAATGCACACATACAAAAAACAATACCTGGGAACCCTAATTTAGAACAAGTCAGTAGGTAAACATTGCAACCTGCGGAGAAATTGTCCAGAACTTTAGGTTAAAAAAAAAAAAGGACTATTTTTAACCCAAAAATAATTTCTATGTATGTTGTTTGTCTATTGTGTAAAAAGGACATGTTCATGCTTACAGGGGTTAATGTGCTAAAGAAGTAAGGGATGAGGGATAACGCATGCTTTTTAAGGCTAACTCTTTCCGCTACCTTTAGGCAAGGCAAGGCAAGTTTATTTATATAGCACTTTTCAACACAAGGCAATTCAAAGTGCTTTACAAAAAATGAAAGAGATTAAGAAAATGGCATTTAAAATCAGTCATTAAAAAGAAAAGCTAATAAAATAAACATTAAAAGAAAAAAATACATGGCAGTCAATTAAACATTAAAAGAAAATAGTACATGGATAAAAGTTACAGTGCAGTCTAAGATATGAATAGTTCAATTAAAAGCAGCGACAAAAAGAATGTCATGCATGTTGAGTCAGCGATTATTCGCTGTGGCCCTAGTTTCTGGAAGAATATGCCTGAGGATCGGAGGGACTCCAACTCTTTGGACATTTTTATTAATAACCTAAACGATTTTTTTAGCATGGGTTTTACTTAAGGTGCCACATCATGTCTTGCCTTAATACAGTATTTACTCTGTGTCTTCTAGTGACTTTAACTTATTTTTAACGTCTTATTGTTGCAATGTTCGGAGTTGTTTTGAAGCAATTGGGGCTGCGTGATTGTATAAAATAGTATTTTTACAATGTTTCCGTGGACACCATCATGTTTACTTATAAGACTAATTTCTTCTAAATAAACAACAAGCTAGATAGTGGTAGATAGTGGTTAGCACATCAAAGACGTCTAAATGAAAGTCCTCATGTCTCAGCTTTGTCTGATAATATCTCTTGCTGCTGAGACTTCTGCTAGCTAAATGAAAAGGCTTTTGTGAAATACTGTGGAGAGCAAATCAGACACAGACTATTATCCTTTGGCATTTTCCACCTGAACAGATTTACTTCAGCACGTGACCTTTTGTCTGAATATTTAAGAAGTCATTTATCTATGACGGCGTCTAATGGTGAGTGAAAGCCCCCCTTGTCTAATGGTGTCTTCTGACTAAAGTGGGAAAAGTAGAAGAAGCTGGTTTATAGGTCCAGATAAATCATTTCTTGATTTGTATACATAACAAATTGCTCCTAAAAGCCAATATTGCAAGGTAATGTAATATTTTCTCCTAATGTGCATTTTATATCAGTCATAAATCACTGCTTGTCACACTGTTATTTGTTTTTTGTCTTCAGAAGATGGTTCCTGCATTTCATATCCTTTAGAAGGAAAGTAGCCGTTCATTAGAATAAAGCACAGACGTACAAAAGTCTCATTGGGAAAGTGGCTATCAATAAAATTCTGGGAAGGTTGTTTATTGAAACAAATGCTCAGAATGTCTCCCTCCTAATAACCTTCTACCCTAATGGCTTAGAAGACTGAGGATTAACCAGTAATCAATCTCTTATTGAGTGTTTTAGCTCAGCAGAGAGTAATAACACCTTCAATTAGACTTGCAAGAATTTTTTTTTCTCTTTCTTGGATACCATTAAGCCTAATCAGTGTTTCTGGCTAATTTTGATGTTAGTCTAATGGCAGGGCGGTGTGTGCTTGCACAGCTAATTCAGGCCAACATATTCAAAGAAAAAGGCCTTTAATCATTGCTGTAAATGTTGAATGTTTAGGCAGGCGCACATTAAGAGTAAAGGAAGATGGACATCGAAGGAAATAAAGGAAGGCAATGATAAAGTGATGGAAATATAGAGTGAAATGAGGATTCTGATAAAAGGCTTTTGAAGAAGATATATCATTAGAGATAAGGGGAAAAGTGGCAAATCATGAAAACAGAACATGTTTATATCCATTTTTTTAAGGCAGTAAGATGTTCAGACTCAGGTTCCAGCTGGGAACAAACATGAAAATGGACTCCAGCAGAAGGAGATTAGCCTGAATGTTCCTCCCTGAGCCTGAGGAGAGCAGCCAGCTTTAGAGCAGGTCACTCTCCAACACTGAGACCCAGCAGCCAGGACCTTTCCTCTCCCTCTCACCTCCCCCCTGTCAACCTCAGCCTTGCCTCTCCTCTCTCTGCACGCCTGGCTTTCTGCGTCTCATTCGGCCAGGAGTCTCCTAGCTGAGCCCAATCTCCTCACATCCCATCACGTTGTGTTGGTGCACCTTCCTTCAGGGGTCGTCACGGCCAGGGTTGCTGTAATGAATTGTTGCTGTAATCACACGTCTTATTTTCCAAGTTAAGGGAGGTGGGCTGTCTCTGTGCTACTAACTGTGGAAGTCTGGGATTTGGGCAACAGGTCTCGGAAAGTTTGTGGTGAACCTTTCATTTGGGGTGCCAACGCATCGGATTGTGATGGGGAGAAAATATGGGTGTCTTATTGGTCTGGATATCAAACAAATCATGTGAAATGTTTCTTTCAGCAACATGATCATTTACAAAAATTGGCAATAAATGGCTAGTACTCATACCTTCAAACACGTCATACTTTTGCTCTAGAACGCAGAACATCTTCGGTTGGAAGTACCATACACTAAATTGTCATGATGTCATTTAGTTTTAAGAATTGTGTATTTCAGAATTTTTATTTATTTTGTGAAAATGAAAACCAAAAACATATTGTGACAAAGGTTTTGAAATCACGGTCTATTTTCAGTTTTTATTCAAGCATCTCTGCATCTCATAAGTTTTCATCAGTGGATGGATCTTGAAAATCAAGATCATATGGTTGTGTTTAAAATGTGTAATTTAAGGGTTAAAAAAAAGTATCCGTTAAACCTACTGCAATATCCTGGAGACTGTAGTTTACACTTTTATGCCATATCGGCACCATGATTGGCAACTATATAAATCTGTTTTTACTTAATGCCCGCTTACTACCCTTTTCCACAGCTTTCCACAATATCACTGAAATAAAGCTATAAGATTTCAGGTACCCCTGCTTGGTGTAATAACTCTACAACACAAGAAGTCGCCGCTGTGACTTGATTCAGTTATGACTTTGAAAAGAACGAGCTCCAATCTTGCATAACCCATTTAAGCTACGCCTGGGTGTGAACACACATTTAAAGTAGCTTGGAGGATATACGATCGTTTGAGAGTGTGTGTGCGTGGACCTTTTGATAGGAACCATGTTGTAATCAGTTGGTCAGAGGATTATGAGAAACAATAACTCAAAGCCGGCCTTCGATCAAACGTACGGATGGGAGACTGTCCTTGGTTCTGTGAAAACAAACTTCACCCCTGTGTCTCATAACTCTCTCAGTATTACTGAGGATGGTGATTTGATATTGATTAGGTTTCATGAGAGCCCGCTGCTCATCCAACTTATTGTTCCATAGGACGGCATGGAGCTTTGTCCTCCCTTGAGTCTCGTCGTGACCCTGTGCTAGCTGTATTATCTGCTGTTATGGCTCCGCAGCAGCCTGCGCCCTGAATGCAGAATAGCGCTCATGACTCAGGCGCCACGTTGTGTGCCTCCTCGATAAAGACATTATTTGTTTTGGCCCTGCGGACAAAGGCAAACGTATCCATCTTTCTATTTTTATGATTTGGTCTTATTTCTTTCATTGTGTAGTGTTTTGTTTTGGGTCAGCAGATGTGCAACCATGTGGTGATGGGCATGTTTGTAATGAATGTGTCTGTCACTTAAAGAGTGGCGCGAGCTGTGGACCTCACACAGCCCTCAATGTGCTTTAGAAAATTGCTGTTGCACTTCAGCTTTGAGAGCATTAGGATAGTCATAAGTGTAAGCTTTAACTGTTCTGCTCATAAGTTAAATCTGTTCATCATGTGTTCACACTCACTTCTCTTTTGCAGGTACTGATTGAGGCAACCGTTTCCAGAGAGCGGCGAGGCTACATTGCCATAGATGACATCATGGTGCTCAACTACCCCTGCTGTAAGTGCCACTTCTGACAATGAATTGCAATTACAGAAGCTGCTGAAGGGGGAAAGAATGTAGTGGTTTTAGGCAAAATATGTATTTAAAAACAGTATGAAACAAACAAAGGATGAAAACAACAGTGATGGCTGATGATCGAACTGTTATATGAGAACTGCAGGTTCTCCCGAGGCGTACTGCGACAATAGCGATGCTATTAAAACAGTGTGACACCCAAATGCAACACTCCCATCCACCTGACGACACACCTGCCTCTCCTGCCTTTGTTTGACAGCCACATATGTGTTAATCAATCAAATCTTGAATCCTCTCTCTGTAGACTTTTCTGGCCTGACTGGAAATGCCGTGTAGCTTTTGGTCACAAGTCACTGTGTCAAGTGTTTTTTCCACTATCAAGCATAACATTTCAAAGCTTTATGAGAATCTTCAGGGTGATTTATTTTGTAACCAATTCACTTTTTGTGTCAGCGAGGCTAGCGGTTCAGTTTGTTGTTAGTGTAAAACATATTCCTGAATCCCCTGAGCTTAATACCTGAACAAAGTCTCCTTGTGTCACACTCCACGTACAATCCACTACTGAACACGAGGGCTCAATTTTAACATCCATTGCCTCTACTTCTTCTTAGTGACTGATTGTTGATTGATATTTTTCTCTCATGGCGATTCAGCTGTATCCCCCTGTAAATATTTATATATCCCATGCTGTTATCACAATGATGTTTGAAGACTTTTCAGGCATGTCGTGTCACAGAGGAGACCACCAGTGATTTTGTCAGACGAACACCGGCTGTGAGCTTGTTCCATACCCCCCCTGTATGCGTACCACCCTGTCAGTCACCCTGTTTCTCCCTGAGACAGCAGATGGCATCTTCTGAATGCTCCCACTGTGGCCATTAAATAATTAAGACTCTAATCAAGACCTGAGCATGCCGTTATGATGTGGCACATGGCCAGCCCGCATATTTGGCAGCGAGGAGAGAACAAGGAGTGAGAAATCGAAGGGAAGTGTCGCATAGTAAAAAATCTATTAAATAGGAAAAAAAATAAAAAGCTCTACAAGTTCCTTTTATATGAATTCTGGTTGACATTTCTGGTTTATTTTTCTCATGAGTCTTGGTCTTTGATTCTGATACTGATGATACTATGAAATATGTATCACGCTTAAGTGTCCCGAGGATAAGATCTGACACATTTAGCTGTATAACACCGCAGTCCTTGCAAACTTTAGGGCCTATTTTTTTTCAGTGTTGGTTTAGGCATGAATTATGCATTAAGTGTCTCTGAAAGGAAACATGGTCACCTGCAGGGTACAGATGTGAGCACTCTTTCCTTGCTACTTTCTGCACAAAAAACAAGATCAACAATTTGTTGTCAACTCCCCCCCCATCCCACTAGATATCAACACAGTTGTGCAAAGCCAAGCAGGAGATTTGTTAGATCCAAATATTTGCTTCTCCCCAATGCTTCAGCTTCACTGTTACTCTGCCATTTCTCCCTGTCAATCATCCAGAGTGACAAGTCAACTTGTCCGACCCTATTTCTCAGAGCAGGCAGGCAGTGCTCCCGGCGTTTACCCAGTGATTTGGCTCTGCGGGAATCTGCTTCTCACTCCACCATTGTTAACCATAGAGTTGGGTGAGAGGGCTTCACCCACACACTGACTCATTTGCAGCTCCGCACAGCATGCAGGGACATTATTATTCGAAATGTGGAGGGCTGATGCATACTTACGGTTTTCTTCTGCAAATTCACTCCCACATTCTGCTCGTAATAAATGGCTTCTTATCAGATTTAGCTGTTTGATAGCAAGTTATATGGCAACATACACGAAGTCCCCCTCTCAACCTACTGTAATTACACACTAATGTTTGCTTTTGATCTTATCCTATATTTTTATTCTTGATTTATTCTAATGTTGAGTTGTATTCAAAGTTCTGTTGTGCTGAGCAGAATCTGGGAGTGGAAGGAAATGCAACAACTTCTATCCTCCACTGTCAACACAAATAAACAAACAAATGCAAAAAAAACTAAAGAAAAAAGAGAGATTTCTTCTTGCAATATTTATTTTCCAGTGTTTGGTATTTTTGCTTATTTTTTTTTTCCCTGCACAGATTGTGGCAGTATTTCTAATATTTCAGGTTTTTGCTTTACAAAAATACTTAATAATTATATAATAAGTTAAAGAAAAAACTGTTAATATCAAGTGCGTCAGAACAATTCAAGCAAATAAAGCACAATTAATTTAATTCCAAATGAATGAAGAAAGTTTGTGATATGAAATCCCCGATGGGTAAGCATTGGATAAAGCTAATTGTTTTCTCAAACAGAAATGTCTAAAATTCCTATTAATGCGTTTGAAAAAACAGAAAAGCCTTGATCAAATGTTATCGTATAGCTGACTGACATTGTGAATAGCTGAAAGGTAATGGAGTCTTTTGATCTCACTGTGTTTCTTTCTCCGTCTGTCTCTTTAGATAAGGCGCCGCACTTCTCCAGGCTAGGAGATGAGGAGGTCAATGCTGGGCAAAACGCTACTTTCCAGTGTGTTGCTTCTGGAAGAGCAGCTGAGGCTGAGAAGTTCCTACTGGAGGTCAGTAGTTTAACGCTGGAGTTTGTGAGTTTTTAGTATTTTTACATCCCAAAAAGTCAACAGTACAAACAGAAAACTGGTTTGGGCACTTTTCACACTTTAAAGATTCAATCCTGTATAATTTGGAGGTGCTGCAGGTTATGCAGTAAATCACCCAGACCGTAGGAAGCACAACACAGCGCTCTGTAGTCATTTTGTGTCTCCTTGTTGTCCTTTTGAGTGTCTTTGTGGTTGTTTTGCATATCGTTGTATTGTGTAATTTTCTTTCTCTATAGTCATTGTGGGTCTCATTATGGTCTTTTGCTTTTAGTTTTTTTTTAAACTTCTCTGAGATTTCTTTGTTGTCTTTTTGTAGTTGTTTGTTTATTGATACTTTATTAACCCGATGCCATGTAAATCATTCAGTTAAAGACATATTCATAATTGTATAACTGAGGTTTCACATACATGTTGCATTTTTAAATAGGCTGTTCCCCTAAATAACCATCGCAATAAGGTTTTCTCTATTTCTGTAATAATGATGAGTCCCTGACGTGAGTTCTTAAATAAAGATGGTAGAAGCAGAGCTCTAATGCTGTGAAGGCCATGAAGGCCTTGAAGCCTCCTCACTTCACTGCCTCTGAAAATTAGCATTGCTTATAAGATCATATTGTTCTCTGCTTTCTTCACTGCCTCCTGTTTTTATTCAAATCATGCGCTGTGTTTTAGATTTCTGTCTTTTCATCTAGAGTGTTTTGCTCTGTGAAGGTCGGACGGGCCATGCAGTCCTTAGCTCTTGTGGGAATTTCTCTGTAGTCTTAAAATTCCCCTCTTTCTGTAGCCCTGATTAAAGGACCAAACGTCATTGGGTTGTAGGGCTCTTCAGTTTTTCATCTCATGCTGCAATTTCTGCACAGCCACACATCCACTGCTTTCGCAAACATCTTACCCCCCACTACAGCAAGTGTTGATCACGGTTGACCTCAGGCAAACCTACTTTATTGTTTTAAAACTTGTAGGTGTGTGATTTATGTAATTGATGCGTCCTCCTTCCCACCTCTTTATCAAAACAGCCATTTAGTCACAGCACAAGGATGAAGACAAATGCTTTGGGTAATTAGCTGGCATAACCATACAGGCGTCTGCTGTAATGAGATCTCTAGGCCACTGAAATGCTGCTTCCCTGGCTCTCCCCTGCCTTTTACTGTCCTCCTCACCGTCCTCCTGCCTGCGTAACGCGTCTGTTAGAGCGGTTTTCTTCATATGAACTCCCAATACTGTTGTTTACTGTTGTTGTGCCCTTTGGTATTCATTGTGTCTGCCGCACCAGCTGCAGCACAGTCTTGACTGCACACGCCTGCCAGATTAACAGATCGTTTTGTCGTTTCCTCGCCAATTAGTTACAGCCAGATTGTTTACGTAACATGAAGTGATCTCATACTTATTAGATTTATCCTAATTTCCCCTGCCTCCTTTCTGTAATCCACATGCTTAGTAGGAAATAAGGAAGTGTAAAAGATACAGGAAGGATGCGGGATTAGGATTTCTTTCAGTCTTTTCTTGTGGTCGCAAGATTAATTGCCCGCTTAACCCAAATCGGTAGGCGTTGTTTATGTGTTTGTTTTTGAAGGCTCGGCCCGAGGTTTGTGTGGTCTGTGGCTTTTCGAAGGCCCAAATCAGAAGCAAAACAGAAGCTGGGATGGCCTAGCATAACCCGAAGATCTCCTTGTTAATCCCAGCACGCTCACACACTTTGGGTTTTGTAAAAAACTGGCAGATCAAAAGTATCAAAATTCATGGCGGCTATTTCACACAAAGAGAATGGCCTGAAAACATGTGAAAAAAAGAGTTTATGTTTGTCTTTGAGGCTACGTGGACTTGACGGATGCTTGTAGTTTTAATGGTGTGGAACAATGTGAGAAATGCCTCTCACGCTGCAACAGCAAGGTGCATCATACAACATTCATTTGAATCACATGCAATATTTTCCTATTGTTTCCCACTTTCTGCCCCAAATATCTCTTTCATGTTGTGTTTTTGCTTTGTGACACGCTGCTTTATGCTGAAAACAACAATTGTCTCACAGCCATTTCTAATGTATCTTTTTTTTTGTTTATACCAAAACACAGTCTACATGCTGCTATTCCTCCGTTAGCCTATTTACTAAACTGATTAAACTTTAATGCAGCAAAGCCCATCTGTCTCCCAATTCTAACTGCTGAGCAGTTACATGTTTATTTCAATAACATTGCACACCAAGGACAACTGAGGTTGTAGATGGGCTTCATTAAGGGACAACACTCATGACATGTATAACCCCCATAACCACTATTATTTTAACTAGATTTCAATTGTCTTTGTTAAAGCATGTCTGATTGTCATATTGTCTGATTAAATCAGAGAGATTCTCCTGCCATCCTAATTAAATTGCATACAAATGGACAATCCTTCTTTTTAATCACATAGCCGTAATAAGAAGTGACCTGGATAGCAAAATACATCATATAAATTGTCTGGGGACAAGTTCAGAAACAATACATTTCTAAATCTTTATTACTCTACTTAAAAAACGGATCCATACTATCAGCAAAATCCGTATTCTTGGTGTAAACAGAACATTTTAACCAGGTCAATTTTATTTTCTCATTTTATAAGATGTGGGTGTAATAAACAGAGGATATACAGAGGTGCATCATGGGGACTGTAGGATAGATAGTTTGGGTTCAGATAGGACAAGTTATTCTTGAGGGTTTCTTCCACATCAGGTCTATTCCAAACCAAACCATGTTCATTTCCTAAGCCTAAGAATATAGTTTTGTTGCAACATAAACTTATAGAAATGTCATGGCAGGAAGCCTTCAAGGCAGTCTTCTGCGAAGGGTTGGTTGTGGAGCTTGAATCATTCTTCTTTTTCTAACTGTCTGTGTGTATAGCTATTGTACATGAAACACTATGAGATGAGATGTGTGTGTGTGTGTGTGTGTGTGTGTGTGTCACATGATGACCCGTCGTGTTTTCTCTGACCTTGTCCTTGCTTGCCTTCCAGAGACACAATGGGGACATTTTAACAACAGCATCAGTCAAGCACCTGAGTCACCGGCGCTTTGTGGTATCCTTCCAGCTAGACAACGTCCAGCAAACAGATCAAGACCTTTACCGCTGCGTCACCCAGTCTCCCAGGGGCTCTGGGGTGTCAAACTTTGCTGAACTTGTTGTTAAAGGTAAACGCTTTCTCTTATTTTTGTCTCTTATGGTTCCTCTTTTTGGTCTTCCCCCCCCTCCTGTTTCTTTCATCCCAAACATGAGTTCATCTCTGCTGCTTTTATATAAAACATGATGTTCTGCGTGGGATTCAAAAGGTAATTTAAAACATTTAGCTTATGAGTGATCGAAAACAAAGACACCTTTTTCAAACTGAACGTTCAAAAAATACAAATTGTATATTGCTCGACACACATGAAGGCTCTCTGCATTTCAAATGCACTTTACTTGACATGTGGTGTTTTCTGAGCTGGAGTTGTCAAATATGCTGCCATGCTCAGCTCTTCAGCTCTCTGTCAAAGAGCTGTTCACTTGACTTGGACTCCTGCAGCCCCTGTCATATCATGTACCGCAGATGGTGACCTCACTCCCATTACTCACTTCAGCTCCACAGCCTGACACCACTTTGACAGCATAGTAATGACATGGCTGTGGGATGGTTTGAAGGCATAACAAACTCCCGCCCTCAGCAAAGGAAGGAGAAATGTGAAAAATTTCCGATCTCCCAGCCCTCTACTATATGCTCCTCCTGGTATAAGGTATTTTCAAAAGACTGTTGTGAGGGTAGGAGAGAGTTAGAGAGAGTGCAGAATACGCTGACGGCATTATTGGTCTCTCTTAGTTGGTCTGTCAATCCCTTTGTTGCAGGCTAAATTACTTTAACATCTGTCGGAAAGATTGCCATGAAAATGTGTTAGAACATGCATGATCCCCAGATGATGTATCGAAAACATTTGGTCATAACTTAATGGACTCCTATTATACTCTTTTTCATCAATATATTATAGGTCTCGGATATTCAAAACATGTCTCTGAAGTGTTTTGCTCCAAATATCAAACAGATCATGCATTGTAGCATCCCATAATCCCCTCTGTTTCCGCCCTGTTTCAAAAGTGCTGATTCTGTGTCTGTTACTTTAGATGAAAATAAGGAGCCCCTCCCCACGCCCCTCTGAGAGATATTTGGTTAAAAAGAACACAATGGTGCTCTAGGAGGAGATTCAGGTGATAAGGTGGGGGGGGGGGGGCCTAATGGTTACACAAGCCAAATTGTTATGACTTCATAAAGTGGCAAAAATCTGAACAGCTCATTTTCAGGCAGGTTTTTATATAAATGGATCAGGACAAAAAGAGAGAGAATCTTTTTTCCTGAAACCTTCAGAATCTCTTTACAAAGAGGGGACACATGTTGATGTGTAAAAGACATGAGAAAGTGGATTTTGCACAATAGGTGACCTTTAATGTACCTCCTATGCCATAAACAGGCTGACATTTGTGTTTGTGGAATGTCTTATCAGCTATTCAATGGTTAGAGCCTGAGATAGATCTAGGTTGATTGATTTTGAAGCACAGATTTGGTTTATTGTAAGTCATATCACTTGCAACAGTACAAACTGAAGCTATTTTGCCAAAATATTTAAAAAAACACTGTCACCACAGACACAGAGGAATCAGTGCTCATAGAAGCCCAGAAAACCCCTTTCAGTGTAATCAGATTCTCAGCAAATAAGTATTATTGTATTCATGTCTTTATTGCTTTCCTTGCTTTTTTTATGCCTCTGCTTTGAAGCCAGCTGTGGCCTGCGGCGTTATGTTTTTAAATTGCATGTGGTCCTTACACACCAAACTGACACCAAAGAACACGTGTCGCCTCACGTCGCCTCACGTCTCCTACGTCTTGGCCATGTTTCGCACTGGAACACACAGAAGAGGCTTCTCAATACTCAAATTTCCCCTCCTCGTCTCCCCTCCTCGGTTCCCCTCCTCGAGACTTAGACCCGCCCACAGGAGATGCGAGCGGAGGACCGAGGAGAGAGGAGGGGAAGCAGCAGACGTTTAAAGAAATGAGAACTCCTCTCCTCTGAGCGGTCATTTTAAAGAGACGTCCGTTCATTATTACGTGTCGAGTGTTTTGTCATAGCGCTGTATCTCTGTTAGATCAGCTGAACATTGTTCCCCCACATATTTACTTTGAATTCATTGAGAGTGCGGTATAATGAGACAATAACAGGCTACAGATGCGGACACACACACACAATATATTTATATACAATTTAAAGTATGAGAGCACTCTCATAATAACGTAACACAATCAGAGACTGGATATATCCCCCCCTCTCTCTGGTCGCTGAAATGGGGAATTGAAATTACGGGCCAAAAGTTGTATTTACAAGTAGCCTATTAAAAGTAAGCAGAGGACACCAAACCAACTGAGACCCGTCTGTCCGCCGCATTTACGCACTGTACAACACACACCTACACACTGTACCACACACACCTACACACTGTACCACACACACCTACAGCTCCTAAAGCATAAGCCGTTGTGTATTTTATTATGTGAAGCAATGGTCTTAGAAAAATATCGACTCTTTGTTTGTAGATATCTACTAAACTAAAGCAAATAAAGAGAGTAGGCCTGTTATACTGAGTGATATATATTATACACACTGCTCTGCTTTCTGCATGGACCGTACAGCTGTTCTCTCTGGAAACATCGCGACGCGATGAAAGCAGTTTCTAAAATAATATCCAGGGGATGCATGCATAGCTGTCATTGGCTGAGATAAGTCCAGCCGTGCGTCACGCCTCCACCGTTCCCGGAAATGCATCCGTGGAGGAGCCGTGGAGGAACCATCAGTGTATCCTCGGTTAGAGCTCCTCCAGAGAGCCTCCTCGATGCTCGATCCTCGGTCCTCGGTGTGCATTTAGAGAAATGAGACGTCCTTCAAAATGGCGCGCTGAAATTCATTTCCGGGTCACTACCGGAGGACCGAGGACCGAGGAGTCGAGGAGGGGAAATTTGAGTATTGAGAAGCCTCTAGACTTCAGCCGACGGCCAAGTTGCACGTACGAACTGCGCATGCGTGAGTGGCAATAACTCTCCTTACCAGCAGGCATCGGTAGTGTGTATTCGTCATTAAAAAGAGGCAACAACCGGAAGACAGACGGCATGATACACCGAGAGAAGAAGAACAGACTGCGTGATATAAACAAACAACAAATAGCGTGTGCGTTCCATGTTCACTCTACAGCGAGAAGCTCATGGGGCTTTGCCGAACCTGTGTCGAGAGCTGGAGTTAAATTAATTCTCAGATTTGCCTTCTTAATCGTTTGTTTGGTCCCTCACTTCCATTTCGCTTGTCATGCACTGATTTGCTAAGCTGAACAGCCAATCAGAGTGATTTCTTTGGCCGACGGCCTTTAGCCTTTAGCCAACGACTATTCAACATGTCGAATCGGTGGCGGAACGTGTCGGCACGGCCGAAAAGACACGACGGCGCAGTACACACCAAGACACACCAATCTGAGTAGGGCGACACGACGCTCATCGACGGCCCGACATCTATCGACGCCGAAAATCGGCTTGGTGTGTAAAGACCTTTAGTCTCATTATCATGAACGTATTATCTCAGGGATGCCTTGAGGGAGTTTCTTTCAATTTGGCAAACTAGTCTACTTGGATAAACTGATTAGATTCTGGTGGAGCATTTTGTCATAATTAGCGGAATAATTCTTGAGTAACGGCCAAGAAACATGTTTTTGGCCATAAGTCAAGAATTAGTTTGCTCATTATTACAAAATACCATACAAATGTCCAATAGTATAACACGATGAAGTGATGACAAGGTCAATTTCACTGTGACATAATGATGTACTGCAAAAACCCTTTATGATTCAACACTATTCTCAGGAACAGAAGAAGAGACAATATTTCACATTTGGTTGGATATTGACTTTGTGAAACTAACGTTCTGTTTCCACTTTGAAACTGTGGTGATTGATTCTCCTTTGCTGCAGGTTTGTTGATATGTTTGGAGCATCCACATTTCAGCATTTGCAGCTACTATACGGCAACATCAATATAAAGCATTGTCTTTCATTGTCTGTGTTTTATCAGAATCAGTTTTATTTACCCATTATGTGAGCACATACATGCATTTGACTATTTGTGTTATTTCCCTTAATTAACTTATATACACACAATAATATACATTCAGCAGAACAATAACAACAAAGTGTATCCTCTATTCTAAGACCCAGATTGCCAGATTGAGCTTGTTGCAGAGAGGGTGAGAAAGGTTTTCCAAGATGGCTATTTCATTCCCCGTCCTAGTCTCTACATTTTTATATGTTGAGATTTAGACATAAACTGCATCTTGACTGGTTGTCGGGGAAATATAACTGCCAGGCCATAATTCTAAGATACAATCAGGACAAATATGTTATCTATGGGCCAGTCTATTCTGCACCATGAGTAGATGTCCGGCTATAAATCACGTTCAATGAACTGCCTGTAACCCTGTAATCTATGTCACAGGAGCTGAGACCGAGTTCTTAACGAGACTTTCACAAATCCCTTTTTCCCTGCTGCCCTGCTAAGAAGAGCCTAATCATCCCTGTAATGAGTTGGAACCACTCATTTCTAAACCGCAGATTGCATGCGGGAATCATGATGAATCTTTATTATTGGCTTGTAGGAGAGCAACATGTCCTCATAATGAATAAAACAATTGAATCTTTAAGGTACTTTATGGCTTTTGTGGTGGCCGCATATTATATTTTAATCCTGACTACATTTAAAGAAGAAGATATTCTGTATTAATCCCCAAGGGGGAATTATTTCATTCTGCTGTAATATTTAAGAAGATGTGTTCTACTCCTTGTTAAAGCATAAATCTCTGTTTGGATACATCCTTAATTCAACAGAAGCTGGCACTGAACAATGTTACGTTTGACAATAGCTCTGTAAAAGGAGGGAAACAAAGACATTCATATTCTGAGAAAAATAAGCAGTGAATTTAATGATTCAAGATTCAAGGCTTTTATTGTCATGTGTACATACAGTAGCTACAGTGTAGATATATCAATGACAATCTTAGGTCAACAGTGCAACACAATAAAACAAATACAAGGGTTAAAATAGTGCAAGTAAATACAAATAAAATAGAATAGAAATAGTACAAAGAACTTGAAAGAGATGAGCGAGTTGTTTTAAATGTGTCCCCACTGGCTGCTCAGCCTAAGGCCTAAACGTGTCCTTTCATTATGGATGCAGTCATTGACATCCGAAAGATGAGCTGCTGCAGGGAGGGGAAGCGGTGCGGAGTAGAGGTGAGGCGCTGGTGATGCTGAAGGCTCACAGGCAGGAGGGCCATCAAAGACAGAGGTGCCTCTGCAGGAATGAAGGATTAGTCACAGCCACAGATCTAACTCTGATCTTTTTCTCATGCTTTGTTCTCATTTATTTTGCATTCCCTTCCCTTCCCTCACACTGTTGCCCGTGTAATTGTTCAGTGGCTTGGATCTGCCAGTAAGTGACATTTGACCGTTGGGCTCTGGAATTAATCCTGGACTTGGCAATCTTTTCCGACAGTGATGCAGAGTCTCCTCTTTCATCATGGTTACCAGCGAAAGGGAAAGAACACTCAGAGAAAAAGATGTACAACACTTAACACATCCACAATGATCATACACATTCAATGGACTGCATACACAGCTGTTTGTTCACTCCCTGCTTTGCTGAAATGTATGCAAGGCTGTGAATGCCTTGTTAATAGGTATGACTAATCTGCTATGTGTACACAGTTTGACCTGCTCACACCCAGGAGTCTCTCGGGACTCATTTGAGACTCAGTGGGCTTTAACATGAGGAGACATCTGTTTGCTTACAAATGTTTAATATAATTAATACTACAACTTTACCTAGCAGCAGTGCTACTGTATGTACCCACCAGCAAATGCTTTCACCAATACAAAGTTGTTTTTGGACAGGAAAACGAAAAACAATGCTTTTTATTTCCTCTGACAGTACCTCCATCCCCCATTGCGCCACCCCAGCTGCTGCGAGCCGGCTCCACTTACCTAATCATCCAGCTCAACACCAACTCTATCCTGGGAGATGGCCCCATTATCAGGAAGGAGATTGAGTACCGCGCCAGCCAGTCTCCATGGTCAGAGGTGCACGGAGTCAACATGGTCACCTATAAGCTGTGGCACCTGGAGCCAGACACAGAGTATCACATCAGTGTGCTGCTGACTCGGCCCGGGGAGGGAGGGACCGGCCCCCCAGGACCGCCTCTTGTGAGCAGGACCAAATGTGCAGGTGAGCTCCTGACACACTGTACCACTAGACAGGGAGGGGCTGCCTAATGCAGAGATTAACAACCTTTTTGGATTTAAAGGGATCATCACTTCATTTAATCAGGCAGTCGCATAGAAATTAAGATCGTCCAGAGAACAAGAAACATATACTATTAAACTACTATTAATTGACATGATATATACATTTATAACCACGATATCCATTTCTTTTAAATTATTTTGTCTGTGATTCACTCATGGGCTGACCGATGAATATACGCTTGTTGTGGAGAGAGAAAATAAAGGAATGTCCAGATGTGATTGAAAGTAAAATATTCTTGTTTATTCAAAAAAAAAAGGCGGTGGAAAAAATAAATAAACGTTTTCAAACAAACAATTTCTCACATAAACTGATACATCAAATATTAGGCAAAATATATACAGTATACATTTATATTAGAAAAAGTTAGAAACACTTTTTTCTTCCTTGTTATCCCCCTTATTATTTTCAGACCTTCGGGTCAGTAACCGCTGCCCTTATGTATTAGAGGGTTGTGCTTGACGTCACACAGCATCATTTGATTGCAGGGCATGTTAGATAATAGAGCTCAGAGTCAAAGTCCAGACCAGTATCATCATCAACATACACGCTCAGTCATTTAATAGAGTATTTTAACAACTCCAAACACGAAAGTGCTGTTGCTACTTCAAACTGCTACTAACTGGTCAGTATCTGCTATGACACTACAAGCTGAAAACACACCTCCAAGCTTCACCTGTGTGTTACTTTGTTTAAACTGAATTATACAATCATTTACCTTATCAATTGCAGATTGCAGAGTATGAATGTCCTCTTGCTATTTTCAGACGATAAATACGTGTGTAAAGTTTGTGAAGGCAGGAGGAAAGCTTCCGAGTTCACCGTCTCCTCTTTTTCTGACATGAATGTCATGAAATCTAAATACAGAACAAGACTGACTGATGAACATTTAAATGACTCTATTAGAGTGAACCTAAGTGGGTACACTCCAGTATACACCATATGGTGGACTCCATGCAGCGCCAGTCATCTCACGAACTGTAAAAAAGAGTGAATGCACTTACTTTATACATGTGCCATAAGATGCTTGTAAGGTGGTGATTAAGGTGATGTATTCACTATGTGGGCCATAATAAGAAGTGAGACATTTTCGTTTTCTTGGACCTTGATGTGAAGTTAAGATCTTTGATAAGCTTTAGGTATTGCAATTTCACACGTGTACAAAAGTAGCTTAATTCAACTGGTGAGTGCTATGTGAATACATGTAAGCGATGTGATGCAAGTAGCTCTTGGCCACTTTAATTTTTTCAAAGTAGCTCTCAGATGAAGAAAGGTTGGAGACCCCTGATCTATGATAGCAATACCTATAAATATGTCTTCTTTGCCTTTAATTATGTATTTCTCTGGAAGACCCACGGCTCAAAGTACTGATGCCCAACAGCATTATTAAAGGTGGGGTAGGTAATTCAGAAACACTTTTTGTGATATTCCATGGAATGCTCTTAACATCCTGATAGCATGTATCTGTGGAAGCCGTGGCGCTGTAAAAAGCACGACCAATCATCTGAGCCGCCCCGGCTAAAATAACTGGATGGCCTACCTGCCTGTCAGCCTTCCATCTCGTGAACAAACTTATCTCATGCCCTCATTGGTCATGTGCGCGCTCGTGTGTGTTGGAGGAGGGGCTCTGTGAGGAAGTCTGAAGGAAGGGGCAGATTTTTTTCGGCTGCTTAGTTTCAAATTCTAGCGCACTCGAGCTGGTTTCTCCATTCTTACCTACCCTACCTTTAAGTCTACAGAGAGTTGTATTATACGCGGCTGCATCTGTCACGATAATCTGCTCAAATTCAATCGGAGAGGAGCCGATGGACAGAAAAAGCACTTTTGCTATCACCGTGTTCTCTGAGCTCTGGAGCTGAGCGGGGAGCCCTTTTTTGCTGCCAGCATGGCACCATCGGTTTGACAGTTATTTAATAGATAACAGACTTCTTTGGACATCCTAAAGCTGGCTTTTTTGGTATCTTTTGAGGATAGAATATCTTTCTTTAGCATGTACAATACATTTACAAGAATGTGTAGGTGACAGCGGTGGAGACATATCAATTACAGTACACAAAGATAACAATGTTAATGTTTTTTAAATAAACAATTAGTGACACCCATTAGTAAATTAAATTAGTTTCTGTGGTCTTAATTTTAACTGTTGTTCTTACTTGTGAAGCACTTTGTGAATTATATTTCTGTGAAAGGTGCTATAATAAATAAACATATTATTAAAGAAAATATATGACCTCACATATTCATAGTAGGTTTGTTCTACATAAGGATTACTTTCCTTAATTTCATGTACATTTTTATTTATTATTAAATACATTTATTCATATTTAGCTATAAATGTCAGAAAGTAGAAAACAGCCCAAGGTAACATCTCAAATGTCATGTTTTATTGAACTTGTTCGATTGTTTAAATCCATTCAGCTTACAAAAATCCTCTTATATGACTATGTTTGGCCATTTCACTTCTACAAAAATGATGAATCAATTATAATAATACCGTGGTCTCTTATAGATTTTTCATCGCTTCACTAATTAATTAAGAGACTAAATCTTTCAGCCATAATGACCTTGCTTTGTGCCTCGTCTGTGCAGCAAGAACATTTTCTCTTAAACTATAGTTACAGCTGACACTCCAGTATTACCGATTTAGATATAAATGATTTAATCTGTCATTCAGGTGAAGCTTTTCTTCCCATCAGGCTACTTTTTTTTTTAATTCCACATTTTGTACTCCCTGCTCACGTCTGCGCCCCCCTGTCATTTGTCACTGTGCAGACACAGAAACACCCAGGGAGATGAGCGGGATGCCAGCCACTTTTAAATATACATACACGCATATAGCACAAAGAGAACTGTGTCGATGCAGATGCACGAACAGAGATGCAGTCAGTCATTACCGCTGCCTGCATCTGCAATGTGTGTGTAGCGCTCTCAGGCACACGAAATGGAGAGCTTTGTGTTACCCAAAGGCAGTCTGTGGATTTGAGTCTTCCATGGTCATCACTCTTTCCTATGCCCAACGGTCTCTTCCTGCCACACACCATCCCTCACATATCTCCCCACCCTGCTTCAGTAGAGCCTCCCTGGCCCCCTCTCCGGTGACATATTAAAGCTACTCTCCTCTCTCAACACCCAGAGACACCCCCCCATGCATCAGGGTGCCAGTGAGCTCACAGCCTTCCTGCACACCCCAGCCCACCTCAAGAGACACACGAAAAATTCTCAATAAAATTGTAGAAAAAGTCGCTAGCGGGAGAGGGAAGAGGTGAAGGAAAGCTGCGGTGTGGGAGTATGTGTGTGTGGGAGACGAGTAGTAGTTTTTCAAATTGAGAGAGTGAAACAGTAAAAATGAGGCATGTGAATGTGCGAGAGGTGAAGCGAGAGAGGATTCACAGCGTAAGGGAAATTGCTTTCACAGTAGCCGTATCGGTGTTGTGAAAGTCACTAAACTCAGCCTTTAATGATGTATTTACATTTCAACCACTGTGACATTAGCTTGTTCAACCATGTGTGGGATAATAATACTGCAGTGTTTGCTGAGCTGTTAAACAGGGCATTTAGATGCAGTACTAGTTCAATAAATAGTAAGTATAGGTGAAATTTGAATTTGCCGTTAGTCCTTCTGTCTGGTTGAATTAGTTTTTTTGTTTTTGTGCAGCTATATCTGCTTGATTCCTGCTTGGCTCTATCAGTGTTTCTTACCTAAGTGTGTTGCTCTTTAAAACGCTGCAACACTGCAATCCTCCACCTGGTGTATCTCACCTTCTTGACCCTGCAGGAGACTCCTAATCACCACCTGGTTCACGGAGCTCCCTCTGACCCAACCTCCAAACCATCTGGTCGACGCTCTGCCTCCTGACCCCACATTCCACGGCTGAATCTTGATTGCCCCTCCTCGCTGTTGGCCTGATTAGGTTTAAGCGGTAGAAAATAGATGGTGGGCGTGTTGCAGTGATTTCAGGGAGGTAGTAATTATCCAGCGAACAGAAGAGACATTTCAACCCATCGCTGTATTGAGGAGGAAAGTGAATTTCCTCTCCAGAAGCTGTGTCTCGCAACTGTGACTAATCTCACTCATGTATTGGTCATGTTGAATATTTCCCTTCCTCTCCAAACACGTTAACTAGCCAAACTCGCCGTACACATCCTGACAGAGCCGAGCTGTCCTCATGCAGTAGCTGTAAAACTAATGGCCGTGAATGTGAACATGGTCTCTGCCTTGCTCTGATGGCCATCCAGGTGTGCTTGATGAGCCATTGCTGTGATTATCAGCACGGTGCATTAGCACAGCTTGAAGCGCCTCAAGTAAATCATAGAGGAGAGGCGAGCATTTGTACTGCAGGTGGTCCCCAAACCACCTTAATGGGCTTCCACCTGCTGCTGGGTCACTGAACCGCCTGGAAAGCTCCTGCTCATGATGCTCTGGGTCTGTCAGAGGGAGCCAGCACTGTAGTCTGACTAAAATTAGGCACATTAGGAACACAAGTGTTTTGCCTCTTTTGGCATGTCGTTCATCATGTCTTCCATTCTGAGCCAGAATTCCCTATATGTTCACATTTGTGGTGTTTGGATTTATGTGTGCTCTTGTTTTTTCTCACACATGGGTACATGTTGTGCTTGTCTGTACACATGTGGTTTTCCCGTGTGACACAGTCAATGCAGATCTCCTCAGATGCACTTGTTCTAAGGCAACTCTGCTCTGTCCTGCCGCCGTCCTTTGTCACAGTTGTAGGAGGGATAATAAACCAGAACCTGTCACCTCTACTCTAACGTCCAATCTCCAAGGATCAACATGGGGCACTGGGCTTCTGCCATGTTTGGGCGGCTGCAGTTTTCACTCCACAGGGTGCCAGAGAATGAGTGCCCGTAGCATACACAAAAATAAGACGAGGCGAGGGGAAGGGACTGGTACAAATGTGCACTTTGAGAAAAGCCACAATGAGCACACTGTGGCCTCTTTGGCGGCACTTTCATCAACTCAGCAGTTAAATGCCTCTCTTTATTTAGCTCTCAGACTGTGCAGACTATCAATTGCACCATTAAGATAATCCTCAGCCACACTGAACAATGGAGCATTACCATTTATTTCTGGGTGCAGTCTACTACTTTGCGATTGCGATGTGCCCACACATTGATCTGCAGTCACATTAGCAGAATGAGGGTCAGATCAATGCTCTGGTCATATTTCCATCTAGTATGAGGTGCCAGACAGCGAATTAAAAGAGAAAGCTAGTGACTACAGAAGGGTTCAGTATATATTGGAAGTGTCATTTAAAAGAACTGTGCTACCACAGTAATAAGTGAGAAAATGAGAATCTGGTAAGTGTTCAAATGTATGTGTGTTTGAAGGTTTTCATTTCAAATAGCAAGAGAAGGAAGAATACAAGTTGGGAAGACGTGAGCAATATAGATGTTGAGCGAAGTAATGATGTTATACAGCTCATGTGTCCTTGCACAGCTGCAGAGTATATATAAAGATGTACCTTCCAGATACATCTTTATAAATACTTCTTGTTTTACTGCATTAGCCCGTACTCTGTGATGCATTAGCTGCCTTATTTCAGTTCCCTCCACTAATCTGAGCTGCAGCAAGCATCCCAAGTGTGCAAGTCAGCGAAGAAATTAAGACCTTGGCCAGTAACCTCAAACTTCACTGATCTCTTCCTGTACCCCATATGTCTGCTGTCACCCCCTGCCTCCCTGGCCCATTACTCAACACAGACTATTAGAAGGATAAAGCATTACAATACATTATGTAGCATGTTGCTTGACAAAAAGGGATTGACTGTGTTAATAATGGCCACTGATAAATGCCTCCATTGATACAGAGGATGTCCTTGGCTTAACTCAGCCTCCCTTCAGTTTCCGACGTCCTCCTGAACACTGCCTGGTCTGTGCTTCAGTGCATAGAGGCTCTCTGTGTATTTCAGCCAGCCATTACATTTGATGAAGATATCAAAGACAGAGCTGTTGTTCCTTTAATCAGAGAAAGTCAGGGTTAACCCGGCAGTGACCAGCATTAACTCAGTGCCTTCTAAAAATATGCAACAGGCAATCGCGATGACCCATCAGTAAAAGTGACCAGCAGAAGTGAATGCCCTTGTATTGCACTGGCATTTCTGTGTGCGGATTACACCTCAGGGCTTTGAAGTACAACTGGATAGTCAATTTGCTCAGCAACTTAGAAGCGGGAACTAGTGGGAGTGGGATGGCAACCCACAGCCTGTCCGATTAATTAGCGCAATTGGCATGAGTTCCCGCTCTGCCTGTGGGGCTGTGGGTGTGTTGCGCTGGCAGCAAACTGACGACCTCCATGTTGTGGCACGGCAATATGGCAGCATGTAGGACAAGAACTAGTGAAAAACAGCCAGGGTAGTCTGAGATGTAAGTGGCAATGACAAATTTACATATGTCAGTTTCTCCAAAAAAATACTGTTTAGCCTTCGGGCCTTTTCTAATGGTATCATTTATTTTTGTCTATCTTTGTTACTTTTTCTTTTTTACTTCAATCTTTCTCCCTCCCAGAGCCTATTGTTCGCGAAGTTTATATACTTGGAAGACCAATACAGATGTTAAAACGGTATTTTTCAGTTTCAATTTTAAGAAAACTAATAACTTACTGTTTGAAAATACTTCAATATGCCATCATGACTATTTATTTCTCTATGTTAAAGGTGGAGGGGTAGGTAATTTTGGAGAAACCAGCTCGAGCGCGCTAGAATTTGAAAATACACAGCCGGAACAAATCTGCCACTTCCTTACAGAGCCCCTCCTCCAACACACACGAACGCGCACATGACCAATGAGGGCACGAGATAAGTTTGTGCACAGATGGAAGGCTGACAGGCAGGTAGGCCATCCAGTTATTTTAGCCGGCCCGGCTAAAATGATTGGTCATGCTTTTTACAGTACTACGGCTTCCACAGATGAACTTTTTTTTTGTGGATTTTTTGTCAAAGCACTTCAGATATTCATTGCTATCGGGATGTTAAGAGCATTCCATGGAATATAACAAAAAGTGTATCTCGAGCCAGTTTCTCAAACTTACCTACCCCACCTTTAACTGTAACCCCACACAAACTAGTTAGCTACTGTCAGGGTAGTCGGAGATGTACAGTAAGTGGCAATGTCTATTGCTCTGTCTGAAATCAAATATTTCTCAACAAAACAAATGTACAAATGTCCTTTTCTCAAAAGAATACAGTTTTGTCTTCGGGGCTTTTCTAATGGTATTATATTTGTCTATCTTTGTTATTCAATTGTCTTTTGTTCCTTCTTCTTCAATCTTCCTCCCTCCCAGAGCCTATGCGTGCACTTCGGGGCCTCACGGCCGCAGATATGCAGTCCAGGCAGTTGTCCCTGCAGTGGGAGAATTTGGCGTTCAACCTGACACGCTGCCACACATACTCAGTGTCCCTGTGCTACCGCTACACCACGGCGGGGGGTGGAGGGGGCCACAACACCACGGTGCGTGAGTGCCTGGCAGTGGAACACAATGCCTCGCGCTTCATGCTGCGTGATCTGCCACCCTACCACGGCATCCATGTCCGTCTGTCACTGGCCAACCCAGAGGGGAAGAAAGAGGGCAGAGAGGTCACCTTCCAGACCGAGGAGGACAGTAAGTCTCTGAAGGAGGTTACAGAAAAGATAGTGAGGAAGCACAGGACAGGAAAACAAAAAATGGAAAATGTCGTTACAAAATGGTAAACTTTTTTAGAAAAATAATCACCCCTAACAATAATAAACTCTTAGTTACAGCACCACACATAGCCTAAACTAATGCAGATACAACATCTTGAATCTTACCTGCATTAAACGTTTTACGCCAAAACAGACAAAACATTATAACCTTCTTTGGTTAGGAGATATTGTAGCTCTATTGTATTCATTACTTTTCTTAATAAACTGGTAACTAAGTGTTTTTATCTTCCTTTTTTATTCAGAGCTTGACGTCTAAAATGTACCGGAATACCTCAAATGTTTAACTATTCTCATAGTAAATGTCAGACTAGAGACTGTACGTACCCGGGACTACCCATAACCTTAACTCTACTGTCATATAGGGTTTATTCTTTGATGGTTATTGTTTTAAAGTATTCTACTACATAAATTAACTGAACCACATGTGTACAAATTATACAGGTTCATATTTGAGTCACATTTGGTTTATATGTGGTGAATTTTATCAACATTTTCAAACATTCCCCAGCTCCTCTGTTTTTCTTCAACGAAACAGAGGGAGGGTGACCATCTGACTGAGGCTGAATCAGCATTACAAAAGGTCCATTTCATTTTCAGACGAAAATAACATAAAAGAGAAAACATTATATCTAAGTCCCTGGCAAGCCTGAGATAGGATTTTGTGCTTATTTCTTATCTCCTATTATTCCTTTGTGCCACAGCACATCGTCATCGTCGGCAGTTGAGGGAGAAATCAATTCAGCTGTGGAAAAAAAAATCAAAACAAACAAGATTTTCTAGAAAGAGATATACATTTTGCAGAGAAAGAGAGAAAACTATCAGGAGAGGAGTGAGGACAGGTTTTTTTTCTTTTCTGAAGTGATTAAAGATAAATATATATTTATATACAGTCTATGTCAATTATGAACCCTTTTTCAAAAGCCTTAATAAGCAACTCTGTCCTCCAGACTAGCTCAATTGAACAATAACAGTCGACTCAGCTGTTTGGCTCTTGTTTTAGCCCCAGGCCTGAATCTCACATTAAAGTCTTCCTCTGTACAACCATCACACACACCATGGGGACTGGGGCTACAGCTCAATTGGCCTAAAACACGTTTAAAAGAGTGTATTGTTGAATGTTCACTGCCATTCAGAAACATGTTTACCAGACATATTCATCAATGTGTTTCAACTAAACTTTCATATACAATGATAGAATCCTTCTTGGATTTGCTTGCTCTTGTCGGTGTTGTGGTTACATAATTGATGCAGATCATAAATTAACTGTGTCCTTATCTGATGTTCTGCTGCTTTGGGCTGTCTGAGAGTCTCATGTGGTGCATTGTGTTCTGAGCCGCGGTGACTTTCACTTCTGTGATATTGACAGGAGAGGCTCACTGTGGGATTAGCACTTCAATTTCCCAGACAAATGTTTGTTCTGACAATTTCTTATAGTTCCCGGAGGAATCGCGCCAGAGTCGCTCACCTTCACCCCGCTGGATGACATGATCTTCCTAAAGTGGGAGGAGCCTGTGGAGCCCAATGGCCTTATAACACAATATGAGGTGAGCCCAGAGAGACGCTCTGTCGAATTTCACTGTCCTGTAGCTCTCAAAATTGTTTATACAGCGTTAGCTTAATTGTTCGCTTAGTTTATATACTTGGAAGAGCAATACAGATGTTTAAAAGGTATTTTTCAGTTTCAATTTTACGAAAGGACACGCTTTTAGGATGAGGACTAACAACTTACAGTCTGAAAATACTTCACTATGCCATCATTTTCTCTATGTTAGCTTTTACCCCACACTAAATAGTTGGCTACTGTATTTCCCTTAAGCTATGTTTACTACTGTGAGTAATAAACAAGCCGGACAACTATATTTGAATCTAAACATACCTAACATTGAAGTAGTTATGCCAATAGGAACTTATAACTATAACTTTATAATATTTTGATATTCAAACAGCACGTACCAAGCTCTTTTAGTGATGAACACTTCTGTTCTCTCAATTTCTGAGCTCTTTTCTTCAAGTGCCACTGCAATGGGCACACTCAGGGGCGCCGCCAGAGATTTTGGGCCCCATGAAAATATATCATATTGGGCCCCACCACCAGGCACAGGCCACGCAAACCAAGCACAATTGCTGTAACCACACCTCCAGAACCCAACCGACTCATTTATGCTTTAAATAACTCTACCTGTACAGGCTTGCATCTATCTTGTAGTCCAATACTAACTGCACTATATTTACTGACACTGAGCTGTGAAAATATAACACTGTGCAGACTACAAATTCTACTGCAACATTCTGCTGCAGTATAATTCACTATTTTATATAAGACTAACATTCCTGACAATAGACCTCAATAGTCATCTTTTATGGTGTACATGCCTTTTTAATAACATTTTTGAATGGAACATTCATAAATCAAAATAAATATAACTTAAACACACATGACCACTTAAATTAAAATAAAGTGAACATTAACACCAATATTATCATTTATAAAATGCTATCACACAAAAAATAACATAAGCAGCAGATTTTCTAATTAAATATACATACCAACTACAAAATAAGCGGGTATTAAAGTGTAAATGAACAACAAAATGGAAATGGAAATGAAAACGCCTGATGGTGGTGCTAAATCAGAGCAAAACTGGGTGACATACTGTTGCTCTCTCTTGTCTTTCTCTCCTTTCTTTTCTTTTTTGAAAGCCTGACTTTGTTAGTCGTTGAGACATTCCTGCCTCACATGCTCTCACTCTGCTAGAAAATGCGGTGCTGCCGGTGCTGCACAGCGTTTGGAGGCAGGACCAAACCATTACATGTAAATAGAGGGGGGTGTACAGAGGCTTTGGATAATTAACTTTTCGAACAAAAAAAGTGAAATGAATCGTAAGTTTCGTGAGTACATCAGCAATATAATGTTATATTAATGTTAATTATTGATGATTGATGAAAGGTTACTTAAACATTTGTTCTTAATGTTCTACAATTTTTGGGGCCCCTGTCAGTCACGGGCCCTTAGAATCGTCATAACTTTTCACACCCTTACGGCGCCCCTGGGCACACTACAGACATGTGTTTAATCTCCAAACCACTCTGCTACATTTTATATTCTACCTCACCCAACCATTTAGTGCATGCTTGGATGGATTGCTAAACCTGTCTGTCAGGCACAGGCCCAGGGTCCCAAAGTAGCAGGGCCTGGCATAAACCGACAGCCTGTCACTCAAAAACACACCATCAAATGACCACAAAGAAACAATAGACCAAAAAAAAGGCAAAATGTCTACAAAGAGAAGCAAAACAAACTCAAACTCATTACAAAATCTGGCTTTTGATACTTTGTAGGTCAGGTGGTGGGGCATGTTGTGCCAAGGGGCCCATTGTGTTATAATCCACCCATGAGTGCATATTGCGCTATGCATATACAGTATGAGTGAAAATAGAAACGAAGCTCATATACGCTCTCTCTGACTTTGTCCACAAGGCCTAGCCCTTAAAACTGGTCTTATGCCTTTTAAAATAGAGCCCCATGTCATTAATAGATAACTCTGTGTCTGTTGGGCCTTATGTTCAGCCGTATAATGATTTTGGATCAGTGTGTGGTGATACATCAGTGGGCTTCCTACCTATCCTGGAGCCTTCTTTCCTTCGCCTCTCTGCAATGCCGCCTCAAGGATATTATTGAATAGGATTTTTGGTCTGACATATAAAGTGAAGGCTGCTCCGGATTTTTCTCCCTGTAATGTGTTGATCTCTCTCAGCTGGCATAGAACTCTTCTTACAGAGCTTTAGAAAGCCTCTCCATTTCTCACAGATTAAACCATTGACCACTCCGCCTGAGCTCATCGACCGCCATGCTGTCCTCACTGGTCCATGCACTGTCGGGCATCTTTTATGTCTGCTTTTGTAGAAGAAACACAGAGGTCTGTCTGTGTTTAGGCACTGTATGGCTCATAATTCTATCTTCACACTAAGCAGGCGTGAGCAGGCATTAAGCTCTTCTTATGATAATCAGCAAAGCCTTTGGTTTGTCTTGAGTGGCATCTTCAGGGTGCCTTGGGTGCGCATGCATGTATGTGTGTGAATATGAGCATAATACAGAATTTAGTGAGTGTGTGTCCATTCCCTCAATGAAGGAAACATTTTCACCCTTGTCTGATTAGAGTAAGGTCACCTCATTTAGCTCTCGTCTCTTTCCAAGAGCATAAGTGGAAACTCTCAAGGGTGCCGTGGAGGCAAATCACCTCTCAAGAAAAAACTTTATAAAATATTTTTAAGGACATTCATGAACAGCAATACTTAAGTATAAATACGAGGTAATTAATCTCATAAATACATAGCCCTATTGGTTTAAACTTTAAACACTTTAATTGACTTTTACCGTGTCGTGTCCTCAGGCCTTTAACGCATTACTTAGTCAGGAAATCGTGTACCACTCAAATTATTTTTTGTAAAAAGGAGGTTGTATGACTTTGATTCAACAGTGCCAATGCCAATCAAGTCCTATTCATCTAAAACTATGAACCCATTTTTAATCAGCACACATTGATTTGAAGAACAAAATTAATTTATGAGTGAAGTGAATCATATTAATCAAACATTAAAATGAATTCTTACCTCAAAGCCGTTAGATTCATGCTGATCTAAAGAGGGCATTAACTCAATTACTTGAAGTGTGTTAGCAGCTGCGATAATGAAGCATAAAATCAGTGCTGAGGTTTTATGATATGACCCTGACATCATCTTGTTTTCTACAGATAAGTTACCAGAGCATCGAATCGTCTGATCCTGGCATCAACGTCCCGGGACCCAGAAGAACTGTGTCCAAGCTGAAGAATGAGACCTACCACATGTTCTCCAACCTCCACCCGGGAACCACTTACCTCATTTCAGTTCGAGGCCGCACAATCAAGGGCTTTGGGCAGACTGCCCTCACTGAAATCACCACCAACATCTCAGGTATTAGCACCGCTAACTGAATGAGCATCTATGCATCTTGTGAGTAATCGAAAAAGCTTCGTAAAATTGTAAAACAGAAATGGAAACATGCAGCACTGATGCACCATGCCGGTACTACACTAGACTTCACCCACTGTGTGCTATAATTAGGTTCCAGGTTTTCTCTCTTTTGACTTCGGCAGCTTTCTTCTCTCAAAACTACTGCTCCCTTAGTGTTGGAGCTATTTTCCATTGCCTCTCCAAACTTGTGACTCGCTGTCATTTCGCAGTTCTCAAGACATAAATTAACTTGTAGGAAGCAGAGGAACACCACAGTGGGGACACTGCTGTGTATTATGTGTAAAATAAAGATGCAGTACATTCTTGGGACCAGAGTGTCACTTCCGAGACTCCCACAGCTTACTACTGGTGATAGATATCCAGCCTCAATGTTTCTATTTCCTCCTAATGATGCATTTGTGCTTGTTAAGGAATGGCATTACACCTCTTATCAACGCACAGCCACTCCCACCCTTTCTCGCCCGCACATTTACTCACTCGTTCCGTCTCTTTACAGAGAGGCACGGTTTGTTTAATTATAGATTTAGAGCACAATCACTGCTCACTGGCGGTATGTAAGACAGAGCTTTGGCATAAAGCCATACCGCAGAAAGAGTCCAAAAGTCTTTGCAGATCATCCTCAACCTCCTCCACTGGCCCACGGTGCAAAACATTCACTTACACTGAGCCTCTCTCAAATTTGCATTGACAGCTAGCAAACACTGAACACCTTCAACAGCTACTGCTGTCAGCATCTTCAAGCTATACCCACCGCAGAGTATCCAACCACACACATTGCCTCATTGGCTTACGTGCGTTCAGACGTGTGCGCCGCCTTAGCCGCTACAAAATCATCCTTCAAACAGACTCAATCTGGCAGGAGGCATCAAACCCTCTTTAAGTTATTTTAACCACAACGGACCTTTTAATGTCAACAAATGCACATTCAGTTTTCCTTTAATGCCTCACCTTAATTGACGTCAGCTCTTTTCTGCTGCAGTATTTGCAAACAGCTTTTTAATATGATAATCATTGATTCCTCATGAATAGTTTGCTCTCCTTCCTCCTTACTAATTGACTACTGATATTATGGAGAAATGTGCAGCCACATCTCTGGGGAGGAGCACGACTTTAGCCAAATCCTTTTAAATTAGCAACCTGTTTAATTCAGCGTCACACACATAACTTTTAATTGGACTTGTATCCAAGACAACTAGAAGGGAAACACTGTACTGACTATAAGATTATGGATACTTGGTTTATTAGGCACTGAGAAAAGGAGGGCTCTTGAAGGTCTGACAGTTTCACAAGGCATTGAAGGGCTGAAAACGTTTATGGGACAGCAAAGACTCTGTTTAAATTGAATTAAATGAAAACTGGGTAAGTCAATATGTGTGTTGTTGTGTGTGAACATGTTTCTGTGTACTCAGCTCCCACGTTTGACTACGGAGACATGCCTTCCCCCCTGAGTGAGACAGAGAGCACCATTACTGTCCTGCTGCGCCCAGCCCAAGGCAGAGGGGCCCCTGTCAGGTGGGAACATCTTCTCAGCTAGTACATCTTTTTTTAATACTAAACATGGATTATTAAAGGTGCACATCCCCTCTGTGTTACAGCACATACCAGGTGGTTGTTGAAGAGGAAATGGTGAAGAAAGTGAAGAGGGAGCTGGGGTTTCAGGAGTGTTTTCCACTGCCGATGTCCCATGGGGAGGCGCAGGCCCGAGGCACTCCTCACTACTACACAGCCGAGCTGCCGCCCAGCAGCATCCCAGAGGCCAGTCCCTTCACTGTGGGCGACAATCACACCTACAACGGCTACTGGAACAGTCCTTTGGACCCCCGCAAGAGCTACCTTGTCTACTTCCAGGCTATGAGCAACTTCAGAGGGGTGAGTGATTTTTAAAGGGGTGAGTTTGGACGTTTTTGAAGTGGGTTTGTATAATGTTTTCTTTACTATACAAAATCTGTTTACACACTAGATTTGGGTCAGCACACCTCCAGTTTAGAGACGTAAATAGAAGGCACAGCATGGCAGCAAAGCAATATACTTCAGTGGAAAGGGGTAACAACAAAACATATTTTAGCCACATTATTAATAGTTTGATGAGATCCGCCCGGAAATGCTAAAGGCTCTGGGTGTTGAGGGACTGTCATGGTTGACACGTCTCATCAACGTTGCGTGGAAGTCGGAAACAGTACCGAAGGAGTGGCAGACCGGGGTGGTGGTTCCCCTATTTAAAAAGGGGGATCAGAGGGTGTGTGCCAATTACAGAGGCATCACACTACTCAGCCTCCCCGGGAAAGTTTACTCTAAGGTACTCGAAAGGAGGGTCAGGCCGATTGTCGAACCTCAGATTGAGGAGGAACAATGCGGATTCCGTCCTGGTCGTGGAACGACGGATCAGCTTTTTACTCTCGCAAGGATCCTGGAGGGGGCCTGGGAGTACGCTTATCCGGTCTACATGTGTTTTGTAGACTTGGAGAAGGCGTATGACCGAGTTCCCAGGGAGGTACTGTGGGAGGTGCTGCGGGAGTATGGGGTGAGGGGGTCTCTACTCAGGGCCATCCAATCTCTGTACTCCCAAAGCGAGAGCTGTGTCCGGGTCCTCGGCAGTAAGTCGGACCCATTTCCGGTGAGGGTTGGCCTCCGCCAGGGCTGCGCTTTGTCACCAATCCTGTTTGTAATATACATGGATCGGATTTCGAGGCGTAGTCATGGGGGAGGGGGTCTGCAGTTCGGTGGACTAAGGATTGCACCACTGCTTTTTGCAGATGATGTGGTTCTAATGGCTTCATCGGTCTGCGACCTTCAGCACTCACTGGATCGGTTCGCAACCGAGTGTGAAGCGGCTGGGATGAGGATCAGCACCTCCAAATCTGAGGCCATGGTTCTCAGCAGGAAACCGATGGACTGTCCACTCCAGGTAGGGAATGAGTCCTTACCCCAAGTGAAGGAGTTCAAGTATCTCGGGGTCTTGTTCTCGAGTGAGGGAACAATGGAGCGTGAGATGGGCCGGAGAATCGGAGCAGCGGGAGCGGTACTGCAGTCGCTTTACCGCACCGTTGTGACGAAAAGGGAGCTGAGCCAGAAGGCAAAGCTCTCGGTCTTCCGGGCCATTTTCGTTCCTACCCTCACCTATGGTCATGAAGGATGGGTCATGACCGAAAGAACGAGATCGCGGATACAAGCGGCCGAGATGGGTTTTCTCCGCAGGGTGGCTGGTGTCTCCCTTAGGGATAAGGTGAGAAGTTCGGTCATCAGGGAGGGACTCGGAGTTGAGCCGCTCCTCCTTCGCGTCGAAAGGAGCCAGTTGAGGTGGTTCGGGCACCTAGTTAGGATGCCACCTGGGCGCCTCCCTAGGGAGGTGTTCCAGGCACGTCCAGCTGGGAAGAGACCAAGGGGTAGACCTAGGACCAGGTGGAGGGATTATATCTCTTCGCTGGCCTGGGAGCGCCTTGGGATCCCCCAGTCAGAGCTGGTTGATGTCGCCAGGGAAAAGAAAGTTTGGGGCTCTCTGCTGGAACTGCTACCCCCGCGACCCGACCACGGATAAGCGGGAGAAGATGGATGGATGGATGGATTAATATTTTGAGTCCGACTCCATTGACAAAAACATTTTAACTTGCAGAAGGAGCTGGCTCGGTGAGTCAGTTTATTTGTGTAATTGTCTGATTTTTTTATGTTTTACATTCATAGTCACAATAATACAACCAAAAGGAAATTATTGAGGCAGCGGTAGCACAGAAACCTTTATGTTCTGAAAGGTAAAATCATGTTTTTGTCAATGGAGTCTTGTTGCTTTGAAGAGAATATACTGTAGATAAAAACAGTGTAGCTTCCCCCATGGAAAAGCTGCCTGCCTTAAGATATTCTAAATATAACACGCACTTAAACTGATATTGTTTTCTTAAGTGGGTCTTTCTTTCAGATGACTACAAAATGTCTACAGCAGTACATTGCTTTGCTCCCATTTCAGTCCATCTGGGGATGTGCCAACTGACATCTATAGTAGGAAAATACACTGACAGTGTATGGAGTACCTCATACAACCCAAAACAAATCAAATCCAAACTATCATTGTAATTTCCAACAATGACTTCATGAGCTAGCTGTACCCATTAGAGTTCAGAATAATGATGAGTCTTGTTAATGAGTATCTGTATTTACCAATGCTTTGGTTGTCTCCAGGACAGTTGGCATTGTCTGGGCTCACAACCCTTGAAAAGAGCAGTTGTGCTGTGAATGGGGTTGTTATATGATAACACATTGAGCTGGCAGTGTAACTTTCTGGAGATGATGTACGTTGATATTCAACAGCTTGGATTATATGCAAACTAAGCATGTCCTAAACTGAACATTACTTGCATGCATTAGTAGAGCTGGAATTACTCAGGTTCAACAAGGGTCCTTACTTCATTTAACTTGATTTGGGTTTTATTTTCTAAGCTCTTCATCTGTCCTGTTTTTTTCTCCTGTTTATCGTGTTCTCTTTCAATGGCTCTTACTCGAATGTCCTTATATTTTACTATTTCGTTATACACATAATCAGCTGAGTATTTTTTTAAATAGAAAGTAAATTTAGACCAAGGTAAACCAGGCTTAGAGCTTTTATCTTAGCATTTCTGTCCACACAACAAAAACTCTTTGTGCATTCTTGTTGTAAACCCCTTTAGAAAGCAGTTTGTTATTTTACACTGTTGTGTTTCCATCGATATCACTGCACAAGGCCCTCCATTCCCCATTCATACCCAGAGGACGCCACATTACCCTCCCAAATTCCATTACAGGGAGAGATGCTACCTGGGTGAGGCAATTACTTAAAGATAATTGGACACAGGTGCAGATGATCAGAGGTAGAAAGCTGCTGCCTTAATATCCACAGACAGTGGCAATGGAGCTGAGAACTGTTGCCGTGGGTTACGCAGCCTTGTGTGAACACCATCTGGGAATAGAAACATGGAAGCTGGGTTACTGGTGTTTGGCTTTCCATGTCCTGTTAGTGGTTAAAATCCCTTGAACACCAGTAGGATATTTTTCCAACCCAGTGGAGAAACACACGGATGTAGTGCAGTGTGAGCACTTCACACAACTAGGCTACTAAGCATGGGATTAGATAGGGGAGGCATGGCTTTACCAGCGGATGGGATTAGGTTTTGTTTTGTCTGGCATGGGGCCAGCATCCATGACCCACAATGAGTGGAGACACAGAGCCAAATCACACAGCCAGCACTGTCCCGGTCTCTCAGACACTGCTGCCTTCGCCTGGACATACAGTAGCAGTCACTGTCTAAATCTGGGCATCAGTCCTGTGTTTGTGCTGCAGTGCTGCAACAATTCTTCTTGATTAAGTACATTGAGGGCAGGAACCAGTGTTTAATGGCTGCACAAGATGTTTTCAATCCCAAAAATGTCCTGCAAACACATAATTACAGATTCTGCTTTACAGTTGCAAGAAAAAGTATGTGAACCCTTTGGATTCTCCACACATAGCGTTGTGTGTTCCTTCCAAACAACTCAACTTTGGTTTCATCTGTCCACAGAATATGTTGCCAGTAGTGCTGTGGAACATCCAGGTGCTCTTTTGCAAACTTCAAACGTGCAGCAATGTTTTTTCTGGACAGCAGTGGCTTCCTCCGTGGTGTCCTCCCATGAACTCCATTCTTGTTCAGTGTTTTACGTATCGTAGATTCGTCAACAGAGATGTTAGCATGTGCCAGAGATTTCTTTAAGTCTCTAGCTGACACTCTAGGATTTTTCTTCACCTCATTGAGCATTCTGCGCTGTGCTCTTGCAGTCATCTTTACAGGACGGCCACTCCTAGGGAGAGTAGCAACAGTGCTGAACTTTCTCCATTTATAGACAACTTGTCTTACCGTGGACTGATGAACATCAAGGCTTTTAGAGATACTTTTGTAACCCTTTCCAGCTTTATGCAAGTCAACAATTCTTAATGGTAGGTCTTCTGAGAGCTCTTTTGTGCGAGGCATGGTTCACATCTGGCAATGCTTCTTAAGAATAGAAAATTCAAAACTGGTGTGTATTTTTTATAGGGCAGGCCAGCTTTAACCAACACCTCCAATCTCGTCTCATTGATTCGACTCCAGGTTGGCTGACTCCTGACTCCAATTAGAAGTCTTTAGCCTAGGGGTTCACCCTGCACTGTGAATGTTTACATGGTGTGTTCAATAAAAACATATAATTGTTTGTGTGGTATTAGTTTAAGCAGACTGTGTTTGTCTATTGTTGTGACTTAGATGAAGATCAGAACACATTTTATGACCAACTTATGCAGAAATCCAGGTAATTCCAAAGGGTTCACTTTTTTCTTGCAACTGTATGTCAGGATCAGTGTTTCGGACTCAATGCCAGGTCTTGTGACTTGGTGCAATGAAGTGCAATCAATGTTGCTTTATTTTTTAAAGGGACGTCAGCTTAAATGCTTTTGATTTGGCTCAATTCCGTTGAGCACAGTTGAGGGGCTATGGCAACAAGAACAGACACATGACAAAGTGCTAATTACATCGAGAAAGATAACATTAAAGAGCACAACACAGCAGCAATTAAGCTAACAGACCAACAAATAGCAGTATGACATTGATGCGTTTCTTTGCCTCCTAATGACATTATTAAGATTGTACAAGTGATAATTAGACTGTCTGTGTAAACCACAAAACATGTTAAGGTTTGGCTCGTGCAGCCTGTATAGACTGGAATGTACCACTTGCATAATGTCCTTCGGGCTATTTTGTATCTTCCTTTGTGTTTTGTTTTTCTTGCCTATCCTCCGTGTGCAATTATGCATTTCAGTCCTTTTACATTTAAACACTGTGCTCTCTCTGTCACAGAAACGTAGGCCAAAAATAGAGGATTTTAGCATTCTAAATGTGATTTTGTAGGGATGCATTCAGCATATTCATGTACTCTGTCTGGGGTATTGTTGTAGTAGATTTTTGGATTGTATACAGAAAATGGAAACATAATTACCGTATGCCCACTCATCGTGGAATAAGTTAGAATAAACACTTCTCTGCTCTTGAACTAATAGGGTTCCTGGCATTGAAAGCAGTCACAGATGTACTTTAATAAAACAAATGCAAATAAGAGAGTCTGCATGTGGAAGTGGTAATAATGTTTTTTATGTACGGCAAGGTTATTGTACCCTGAACACCTTATACAAAAACAAATTGTCAGCCTTCTTAGTTTATCATATAATTGTAGAGTGCAATAAATCAAAGCATGTGTGGTTTTTCTGGATTGTGTTTGTGGGAAGCAACATTGTACCTAACTCTTGACAAAGTTGCCGCAGTGGGACTAGTTGAACAGTATATGGGACACAATATTTGGCATTTACCCATGATAATTATCTGGAGAGTGAATGTCAAGCCGCTCTAATTGCTTTGATTGATTCATCTAAAGAGGTGCTTGTGGGCAGAGACAGTGGCTTTGCCGGCCACAGAATAGTCATTCATGACCTCTACACTTACCACTTCCAACTACACACGCACGCACGCGCGCACACACACACACACACACACACACACACACACACACACACACACACACACACACACACACACACACACACACACACACACACACACACACACACACACACACACACACACACACACACACACACACACACACACACACACACACACACACACACCACACACACACACACACACACACACACACACACACACACCACACACACACACACACACACACACACACCACACACACACACACACACACACACACACACACACACACACACACACACACACACACACACACACACACACACACACACAGAGAGAGAGAAAACCCCTGAGAGTGTACTGTGGAGGCTTACTGGTACAGCACGGCAGGACGTGTTATGGCTTCTTCTGAGTCGACATACCACCATTCAGATGTGCATCTATCCATTAAAAAGCTTTTTAGTTTCTCTGTTATCATTTATAGTAGATATTGATGTCAATATACTTTGTTTTAATTGGCCAAAGCTTGTTATGATTAAAGATTTTAAATGCTGTCTCCATTCAGTAATTCAGGTTCAGATTAATTTTCCGCTCTTGATGGAAAATATTTCCTGTAATTAAGCCAGTCTCTTCAAAAGCTCAAGTTTAAATGTCAGCATTTCTGGAGACACAAGAAATTCACTTTAAAGCAATTTGATTAATAATTATGAATTATAACAAACATATAATCAGTAGCAATGGAGATACATGTTATTAAACTGTATGGCAAGGCAAGTGTATTTATATAGCACCTTTCAACACAAGGCAATTCAAAGTGCTTTACAAAAATGAAAGACATTAAGAGCATTAATAAATAGTGCAGCAGAAACATATTATAAAATGGCATTTAAATATCAATGAAAAGCATCGGCAAAAAAAAAAGTCTTCAGCCTGGATTTAAAAGTAGCGAGAGTTGCAGCGGACCTGCAGGTTTCTGGTAGTTTGTTTCCAGTTGTTTGGAGCATAATAACTGAACACTGCTTTACCATGTTTAGTTCTGACTCTGGGAACAGAAAGCTGACCAGTCCCTGAAGACCTGAGAGATCTGGATGGTTCATAATTTAGCAGGAGGTCAGAAATGTATTTTGGGCCTAAACCATTCAAGGCTTTATAGACCAGCAAGTGTATTTTGAAATCAGTTATTTGACAGACAGGAAGCCAGTGTAAAGACTTCAGAACTGGAGTGATGTGATCCACTTTCTTAGTGTTAGTGAGGACTCGAGCAGCGGCGTTCTGAATTAGCTGCAGCTTTCTAATATATTTAGTGGGTTAGTGGGACCTGTGAAGACACCATTACCAGTAGTCGAGTCTACTGAAGATAAAAGCATGGTTTTTCCAAATCTTGATGTGACATTATTCTTTTAATCCTCAATATATTCTTAAGGTGATAGTAGACTGACTGTTTTAATGTGACTGTTGAAACTCAGGTCAGAGTCCATGCTACACCTAGATTTCTGGCTTTATCTGTTTTGAACATTGCCGACTGAAGCTCAGCCCTGACTTTTATTCGTTCCTCCTTGGCTCCAAAAACAAGTTTTATCTTTATTTAATTGGAGAAAGTTCTGACACACCCAGTCATTGATTTGTTCAATGCACTTACTCAGTGTTTGAATTGGAGCATAGTCTCCTGGTGAAATTGTAAATGTGTGTGTCATCTGCATAGCTATGGTAACTTATTTTGCTGTTTTTCCTTATTTTAACCAGTGGTAGCATGTAGATGTTAAAGAGAAGAGGCCCCAAGATGGAGCCTTGAGGAACCCCACATATTTGTCAACTCAGATGTGTATTTACCTATAGAAACAAAGTTTTTTCTGTCCTTTAGGTAGGATTCAAACCAGTTTAGAACTGTTGCCGAAAGTCCCACCCAGTTTTCTATTTGGTCTAGTAATATGTTGTGGTCAACAGTGTCAAATGCAGCACTGATATCTAAAACTGTAGAGCAGCAATTCAAATTAGGTCATGCAAATAGCAATACTACCTCTTGAATTGAAACATTTATTTTTACCCACTCTAAATAGATCTGCCTCTATATCAGACTGCAGAAAATGTTGCTTAGTTTCAATGAAAAGAAGAACAATTTTCATCAAGGATTTAAGAATTCACCAGTACTTTCCCATCAGCCTCAGTTAGTGTAGGTTGTGATTATATGCTATCATGCTCAAATAAACACAACCTAATATTATTCCTGTACTGTATGGCATGGTAGTATTAGCATGTTAGCATTGCCATAGTTAACATGTTAACTATTGCTCTGTGTTTGGCCCCTACAAGTAGAGTGGCACATCATGCTAATAGTTCCTCAATGGTTCATGATCAAAAAAGTGTATTATGAAATAGAAGTAGAAAGTAGCAGTAAATGAAAAGTACAAGTACTTCAAAATTGTGCTTTATTACAGTATTTGAGTAAATGTAATTGTTTTACTTTCCAATACTTATAATAAGTACACAAAACATTAGAAAAAATACCTTAAAATAGCTAAACAAATAGTTATTTAATGAAAGTTGCACTGTGCTGATGATAACTACAATGGATTTGACCAAAATGTACTCTGAAAAAACCCCATTTATTTTTCAAGCTGTTGTATGCAGGTATAATGTATATGAGCCCATTTATCTGTTTTTCTGTTTTCAATCTCACAATTTTTCTCGACCAAAAAAAGCATTTGCTAATGGTAAACATACTCTGTCACTCTCTGAGTCTGTATTTTCTGATTCAAACCATCAATTTAAGAACTTGCTTAAATATGTGTCACCTTGAAATGGATTTTCAATAAAATAGATAATTTAAAAAAGGAAAGTGCTTTTTGCTCATTTCTGAATGGGAACATTTCCATAATTGTCACATAATGCCTGAATTAGCATCTGTAAATCTTAATTTGATAACGCATTTCATCCAAGAGGTGGTTGGATGGAATTTGATTACAGTGTTGGATCTCATTAGTGCTGTTTGACAAAGGCCCTTTTCATAATACTGAGATGTCATCAGTTGAAATTTGAATACAATTAATTCCTTTTTATAGTGGTGCACTGGTCTGAATCCCCTCCCTTTAATTATGCGCTCTCCCTTTCAACGATCAGATTTTCTCCTTCAGCAAGAATCTTTAATCTCCTTTTCAAACACTTCAACACAGCTCTCATATTTGAAACATTTTGTAACCTCACGTCGTCAATAGGACTCTTAACACTTTACGTTTTTCTTTTTTAGAGGAGTAGTGCAACCCACTCATGTTTAGTCACATGAATATTAAATCAGAGGGCAGAAACAGCAGAGAGGGTTGACAGCAGTGTGAATCCAGCTATGGTCCTCACCTGTTACCGTCTAACATCATGTTTCAATGTTCACTCAAAGTGTCTTTCTTATCTGCTGTGGCCATATTTTCAACTTAATGTATGTGTGTGTGTCTTAGCTCGGCAACTCACAACATCCTATTTTCTTTTATCTCGTCTCTTTTATGCAAAATGCTAAGCAATATCCCCCCACCCCCCTCCTCTGATGTCTGTGTTTTCTTTATCTTTCAGGAATCAAGAATAAACTGCATCCGCATCGCTCGCAAAGGTAATTCAACATGAATATTTCTCCTCCCACTGACACTGACCTTGAATGAATTTCCTATGCATTGCAATGTTGTCTATTCTCTCATTGTTCCAAGATAAGAAATTAAGAATGTAATTTTCACGGTATTGGTGAGTTTAGTGTACACTGCATTGTTATTCACCTCTTTCTCAAGTACAAAGGTGTGGATGTGGAGAAGCGTTCTCTGACTGGTCCTTGTTGTTTAGCAGCATGCCTCTGAGAAAAGGGCAACAAGCGGGGAGGGATTAAGGGTCAGGCTTTCATCCTGTTTGTTTGGGGGCAGACGCCGGGACACACTATATCAAAGGCAGTCTCTTTGTTCTCATCAGCAGCCCGCTAGACAGCTACCTCTGAGGGCTTTGACCTCGAAAAGGTCCAGAAGGGTCCTCAAGATCAAAACTACCAGATGGAGTTACTTTGACCTATCAGTATAAGAAAGCCAAACCCCACCCCTCATAATGTACCTCCAGCTTTTGGATTCACAGGGACATGAAAAGGGCAGAGAAATTGACTCTAAGTCCTATTGGCAGGAGAGCCCTTTCTGCTGTTGCACACTGTCAGATCATGGTGAATAAAAGTCATGTATTTATAGTTATCATAGCACCGCAACAGTAAGCAGAGCCTTGCAAGTAAATTGTCTTGGCGGGAGTCTTTTCTTTGGTGAAGGCCTTTTTATCGTCTGAGAGTGAAAAAGGAAAAGAGATGAGGCTCTCCTCAAGCATAGAGCCAAAAGGCAAGGCCAGCCATTTCAGCTCAGTGTCTCACTCCATCTGCCCCACGCAGACACCCGGTCGGGCATTGATTAATTATGCTTTCACACGCCAATGCAGTTTTACAGTGTGCTCGTCTCTTTTCTTTGACACTAAGCTAAGAAAGTAAGAAAGAAATGCACACAGGCACTAAAAGTAAAAATGATAAATAAGCAACATTTTAACAATACAATCAATATAGAAAAACAGAAGTTAAAGGAGAGAAAAGTGCACAATGAAAAGTAATTTTTTGAAAAGATTGGCGGATTTACATCAGCCATGTACATGATGATTTATTTGCAAAAAAAAGGACATACGAATGAAATCATCACGTAGATTTCCAATTTCAAGGTGTGACGGGTCAGTTTTTTGTTGGTGCTGTTTGTGAGCTCCGTGATCCCTCCACCATTTACATAGCCTGTGCATCATTGGGTCCTAAGCCCTTATTATCAAGCAGCCCATCACAGGCAAAGTGGAGGCAAATGATTCTGGCTTGGATAACAAAGCTGGAGATTACATTTCAACTTCCAGGTGACAGTTTAATTAAGGATCCTCTGGCAGGCTCAACACAACAATAGACTTCCATTTCTCCTCTAAGTGCCAATTTCCACCATCGGGCAGCTGGCAGGTGCAGGGATTCATGTGGAAATCTATTTCATGCTCGTGTTTGGCTTAATAGAAATGTCGAGGCTAAATGTGGCAAAACCGCCTTATCTGTCCAAAATGTCAGAAAACTGAAATTGATTTTTCACCTCCTCATCTACATTTCTCGCCAATAAAACGCATCCCTGTATTTCCCGTGTACGTGTCATTTTAAATGAAGTCACAGAAGAAAATGAACTGCAAGTGCTGAGTTGTGGCTTTTTTTTTAGGGCAGCATGTTAGGACCGACTATATGTTATCTCCAGTTACAGTAGCTCCCAGACATAAAGCCATATTTGGGTGATAGCGTGTCTCTGTGTGTGAACAGGGACTACACATTTTTTGGTATTCAGTCTGACTGAACCGCTTCCTACCACTCCAAGTAAAGTATACCTTTCAAATGAGCTGTCCGTAGGTTGAGCAGCACACATTTTTTCACATTTTTGGAACAACATGTAACATGGAGTTAGCAATTCAAAAAGCTACTTCCTGAGCGTATATAGAAGGAAAATATCCTTTCTTATATTAAGCCAATTACTAATGTTCTCCATTCTCATATGCCAAACATCCATCATTGATTTAAAAAAACCTGCCAAATACTCAAATAATATTCTGCTTCTTTCATCTTTTGTAAAGAGGGGTTCGAAAGCACCCCAGTATGCCCCCGGCTGCAGATAGTTGGGCTCAAACATGGCGTCGTTTTAATTTTCCCTGCCCCAGATCTGATTCTTCCCCAGCAGGCTGCAAGATAGAGTTATATCCCCAGGCCCGCTGTGATTTCTTCTGCCGCTCTCCAGTTCCAAAAGGCTGAGAATGGCTAGTTTCGGGGTTGTTAAGGCCTGGAGGACAGGCTGACACACTCTAGATCAGTGGGCCCTGTACAACAATACAAAAAGAACCCAGTGCTCAGCACCATTTACATAAGTATGGAGCTTTATGCCAGAGAAATGAATAACCTGCTATTATGATAACGACTTTTCCAGAGGTTTACAGACACCCGGGCACCTTGAGATTCTACTGTAGGGCTGTAAGGATGACTTGTGACTGGGAGAAAAAATACACTATATATTTGTTTTCCATATTGAATAGAAATTTGCAGTTTAGTGCATGTACAATAGCATATAAATGTACTATTGTAATATCACAAGGTGTCAGGTTATTGTTGCAGCGTCATTGTACAGAAGAACAATTGCTGAATTGCTCCTTTTTGTACATGACTAATGGGTCTTAGCTAATGAGTTTCTTGTCTTAGGCTGACATATTTGCAAATCCTGCGAAAATAGTTTCTTCTTCTACATCAATGTTTTGCAATCTGTTTATGTTCTCAACTCAGTTTGGTTTCTGTAAACATCAGTATAAATCTTTAACAGTCTAAGTAGCCAGTTGAAAACCTCTTAGACAACACTATGCAAACCAATCATTTAGCTTGTCAGAGCACAAGTTATCATTATGTATGTCTGAGGATTGCAGGTTTGTTAGGTTGGACAGCATGGACAATCGCTGTCTGCCTTCAGGCTTCACTTCTTTTATTCACGTGTCTCTTTTATCTTTAACAAGTATAGGAAATAACTACTGGTATAGAAGTGTAGCCTTGACGTTGAGAAGACTATTATTATATAGTGGATCTCCTCCCAGCAGTCATGATAAGCACTATGAACGTCTGTAGTATTGTGTGAAAAGAACACAACTCTGAGTTCTGTGTGCATTCATTAAAGTTATTTGAAGCTGTGGGTTTTCTATTTTCCCATGTCTGCATTACATTTTTCACTCTCTTTGCTTACTATGAATAATGTATTTGGCACCTTCAACATTATTTCTGTATGTACTGTATTTGCATTGTGCCATTTTTATTCATGTGCATCTGTGTTTCTGCTTCTTTAGCAGCCTGCAAGGATCACCGCAAAGCTCTGGAGGTGTCCCAGCACTCGGAGGAGATGGGTCTGATTCTCGGGGTGTGCGCTGGAGGCCTGGTGGTGCTCATCCTTCTGCTGGGTGCCGTTATTATCATCATTAAGAAAGGGTAAAAGTCTGCTGATAACTGTTGATCGCGCATCATGCCTCATTATGCATACCCCCATATTGTTTTAGCCTTTTATGTTTTGTTTTGGACCATTTAGTCATCAGTTTTCATATTTTGCTGAACTTTTGAAAAGGTCATGCTTATTTAGGATAGAGTCTGAAACCAACAACCAGCGCTGCATTGTTTTCATTGCCTCATGGTGCACCGTGGGGACCAAACAACTCACATCTGTAGAGCCTATCTGAGTGTGGAGTATCTAATTAAAGGCGGATGCAATTCAATTATCCACTTAATTACGCACACCAAGCAGAGACCTGACCCTTAAATGAGATGGTAATTGGGAGGGAAAAGGTGTGCTTTAAGAGATTATTAGCCCATGATCCCGCAGGTTTACAGTACATCATCTACACATCTGGCTCGGCATTTATATAGCAGCAGCTGTAGGGCGGCCTTAGTTTTAATCTCAAATAAGGCTTAACCTGCCTTACTAAAATAAGATAAATGAAAATTTGAAGAACCTGCCGTGCCAAATGGGAAGTTACTCAGGGCTCCAGCAATCATTATTAAATGGCTGACACAGCCTCCCGGCTAATATTGAATAATGTTGATTCTGAAAGTCACGACTACTCTGCACATTAGCCCGGGTTCCTATGCTAAGCCACCATGAAGTCCGCTCTTAGCGAATTGATTGCTAAAATGTTTCTGACAGGAAGCCTTGCGGTCTAGTCCTTGAAGTATAACACTGAGACATATTCGACAGAAGGGAAAAAAACTAGTTTTTCCGCCAGCACCTGCTTGGTTCGTTTGCATGCGTCATACGGCCGCCTGCACAGCCGAGCTCACGGGAGGATGGATTTCATTTTCACTGTAATCAATGCATTCTGCCCTCAGCTGGCATTGCTTTCATCTTACATCTCTACTTCTTCTTCTTGATTATTTTTCTTCTTCTCCTGCACTCTTGCCAGAAGGGACTACTACTCTTACTATCCGTAAGTGACTCCACTTCTTGCTCTCCCATTGTTTCAGTGATCCATCTTATACATGCTTGTGCACTGGCTGTCAATCATAAGGTGTAGAGGGAAAATAATCAAGCAGTTATTTGGACTTTATCACCTTTTTTCTCTTAGTTGCTCTATATTTTTACCTCCATAGCATTCGTTACTAAACATAACATTTCCTTTTTCCTCCTCTCTCTTTCTCTCTGTCTATTACAATCTCCCCTGTATTGTTCCCATGAATAGGAAACCAGTAAACATGAATAAGACACCCATTACCTACCGGCAGGAGAAGAGCCATATGGGCTCCATGGAGCGCAGTTTCACAGACCAGAGCACTCTGCAGGAGGATGAAAGGATGGCCCTTTCCTTCATGGATGCGCACACCTGCGGCACACGCAGTAAGACAAAAGACACTCAGTGTACACAAACCTGGCAGCTTACCACTACTACACAATGCAATTTCAAACTTGACACACATCATCCCTCACTTTTTAATCCTGTTGACCGTCACTCATTCACTCCATAAATGTCTGAATCATTCTGAAAGATAATTATCACGCTGTGTGAGAAATGTTCTGTTGTTCGACTCCCCTTCAACTATTCACTGCCTGCAGCTGATACACAAGACGAATCCCACAAGATGTGCAAAAAAAGGGAGAAGTGAAGTAACATATTTGTATTGAAAGAAATGATTTGTGATGCTTGTCAGTACGTTTCATCTTCATCTCCTTTCTAATATCGTCAGTCTTACAGAAAGGGAACGACAGATGTGTTTACTTTACAGGAAGTGCTGATCTTGTTCACACGTCATGCGAGACAGAGCTGCTGTCACGTCTCTATAAAATATAATATGAAGACATCCGTGTGCAGACAGACCTTAATCGAAGTCACACACCTGTAACATAATGTACTGTATGAGTCAGTATCAGCATACAGATTCCCACAATGTAATGGTAACACCAGCATTTGTAATTCCGAACAAAACATGCTACTAAATGTTTAATGTTTTACATCGTATCACATCTTGCACATGAGTTATTCAGCTTGAGTCGTGCTGACATTGAACATGTGTCTGTGTCTGCTGCAGGTGACGTCCGTAGTTCAGTGAACGAGGCCAGCAGCCTGCTGGGGGGCTCCCCGAGGCACCAGTGTGGACGTAAAGGCTCCCCATACCACACAGGGCAGCTCCACCCCGCCGTCAGAGTGGCTGACCTTCTGCAGCACATCAACCAGATGAAGACTGCCGAGGGCTATGGCTTTAAACAGGAGTATGAGGTGAGAGAGCGCTGCTACTCTCCTGTCTTACACAGCACAGCACAGCACAGCACAACACAACACAACACAGCCAGCTTATTAATCTTCCACTCTGACTAAGTTAAGTTAAAGCAAGTGTTGCTTCTGGTGCTTAGTGTCTTAGGAAGATTGTGTTAGTTAATAATCAACCTTCACTGTTATTATTTAACGTGGGTATAATTGGTTCATTCTTGCCGGACATGCATCGAGTGGGATAACTAAAGGCAAGAACACTCAAACTGCGGTGATATACATAATCCAATGCTACAGTTGGAGGCTTGGTTACATTAACTTCAATTTTCATGCCAACAATGCAAAAGCGGTCTAATTATGCTTAAGAAACTTATTGCAAATTGGGTAACACTTTGTATGAGGACCATGTCTATAATGCATTTATAATGCTTTATTAAAATAATCCTAACCCATTTTACAATAAATTATAAGGTCACGTAATATTATATATTTATTTTCCAAGGATGAAAGTGTGCCTGCATTCATTACAAATGTTATATTACAATATTATAATCTTTTTATAATGGTATTATAACTTTAAGAGGTCACTGTTGCTTTGAGTAAAGTGAAAGAAAAATATATATAAATACAGTACATATGTTTATTTTGTATAGACAAAAGTGAAACGCTGTAACTGTTTGCGGCAGGAGCATCAACGGTATGAACACATCAGCAGCTCTTTCTGCTTTTCTCTTTGACGCACAAGGTCATCGTCTCAATTCAAACTTCAAGTTGTTGTATATGAATAAAAGGCCCTTCATTGCTGCTACCTACTTATCTATCTTATCTCATCCACAAATGATGTTTTAAATAATAACCCGCACTTCATCCATCTATTTTCACTTTGCCTAGATTTAAGGTCTCAACAGAAAACGTTTCTTCTTTGTTAGTGCTTCCATGGCAGCGGGAAGGTATTATCTCTCAATCATGTGAGGTGATCTAGTGTGTTAGTATTGCTGTTAAGGCCACTGTGTGTAATACAAACAAGCAAACAATCTATATCTGAACACAAGCAAAACTAAAGAAATCATCATAGACTTCAGAAAGCACCGTCCAGAACACGCCCCCCTTCACCTCAATGGAGAGAGAGTGGAGAGGGTCTCCACCTTTAAGTTCCTGGGGGCTCACATTTCGGAGAGCCTCAGCTAGACAGCACACACCACTGCAGCAGTTAAGAAGGCCCAGCAGCGACTACACTTCCTGAGGGTGCTTCGGAGAAACCGACTGAACAAGAAGCTGCTGGTGTCCTTCTACCGGGCGACAATCGAGAGCGTGCTGTCATACTCCATCTCAGGGTGGTATGCAGGATGCTCAGCTGCGGACAAGAAAGCCCTGCAGAGAGTGATCAGGATGGCAGAGAAAACCATTGGCTGCCCGCTGCCCTCTCTGGAACACATCTACACCTCCCGCTGCCTCAGCAGAGCTAACAAAATAATAAAGGACAGCTCTCACCCAGGTCACAGACTGTTCTCTCTCCTGCCTCTGGGAGGAGATACAGGAGCTTCAAGTCACGGACAAACAGACTCAAAAACAGTTTCTACCCCTGGGCCGTCAGGCTGCTCAACCACCACACATAATGCAATAACCGTAACCATTCTCACACATACACACACTTTAATGCACTTTATATACAATTTTTATATAAATATTTTTAACTATTTATTCCCCCGTATGATTGTATGTTGTCTGTCCTATTGCTGTGTTTTTTAGTGTTATGTATTTGTTTGTATTTTTTGCACACCGGGACAGAGTTGCACTCTGAATCTCATTATACTCTGTGTATAATGACAATAAAAGGCTTTAACTTTACAAACTTAGTTCAGCCATGATCCCATTATTTCATTTTCTGAGCATGCAGAGCTTGTTGCCATAGGGGAGATTTGTTAAAGTTGCAAGACAAAGCTGTGCTGAGCTCCCTCCGCACCATAAGGTCCGGTACAGTGGCTACACTGATGTACACCATGCCTGGTTAACCTGCGCACTCCTCCATAACACAGCGGAGAAAACTGGCACGTTCAAAAAATCTGTTTTAAGTTAGTGGACGCATTGTTCTGGAGTTGAAGAAGCCAGGGGTAATCAGTCAAACATGTTTTGTAACACTACAGTTCTTGGTGTAGCCAGGGAGGAGGACGGGTCAATAACCAGGCTTCGCTCAGCAGGAGTGCTCGACCTTAGTTGTCCACATTGTTACAGTAGGAGGAGGAAGGACTATATTGAGGACCTTATAAACCTTATAGACAAACCCTCTGTGATGCAGGAAGTGCCTGAACAATTTGAGAGTGTTGGAGTATGTATACTTGGTACAGGAAAGTAAACTCAATAAGTTTATTATTAAAAGTATTTGAGAGTTGACCTTAGTAGAAGAATCTGAAGCCCCACATATAAGTAACAGAACAGCTAGCCTCATGAATACAGAAAAATGCATCGCTGACATCTCACTGCTTATCTTCTCTGTCAATTTGATATAATATTTTGTGGGAATTGCCACTTGGAATTGCCGCATGATTCATTGTTTAAATGAATTATGCCCAAATAAACAGATTTTCATTATAGGGACAAAAACGTTTAAAGTAGCTAGTCCTATGATGACAGTCACAAAATGCAATTGATAGCCCATAGATTGAGGAGTTCTGCAAGCATATCTCAAACTCAGTGCTGTGAGCTGATTTTCTTTAAGTGGGGATTGGACTTTGGCAATCTTAAGACCACCAAGACTCATCGAGACAAAATTAAGTATTTGAAATGGAGTCATTTGGTTATATTTACTGGCTGTTAGTGAGTAGTAAGTAGGATCACCTGCAATTACCACATGTTGTGGATAACTCCGAGCTTAGAGAGGCCATGTTAGCTGGAATGGCTCTTGCTAGGGGGCTGTGGGAGACCATCAATCCTCCTCTGACATCCTCCATGAGCCCATCTCACCACCCTCTGAAATTAATTAGTGAGGGTTAAAAAAGGCATCTGGATCACACTGTCGCTGAGCATATGAATAAATCATCCTCATTTGGCCCCAAAAGAAGCCCTCTGTCATGACTGCAGGCCTGGTGAGGTTAAATATCTCAGTTGGAGTCTTCTGTCTACAACTGAAAGATTGTGAGGTACAGAAGAGAGGTAAGGGGAGTCTGAAGGGTTGGGTAGTAAGGCAAAAAGGAGCAAATGTTAGGAAAGAGAGTTTTATCTTCTATGCCCTGTCACCTCAAAATATCCTCCTCACGGTAGCAATGTTAGTATTTACCTCCCTCCTCAATACAAGGTGCAGCGTAAATGCTCTATAATTTCCGAGGGTAACCATCAGACTGATATAGAGGACGCTTCTCTCTCTCACACAGCACAGGGCTGATGATGCTGCTCTGATGAATCACTGACTTAGATATCCCGTCATCTGATCCAGTAATTGGTGGCTCTACATTCAAAATAGAGGCAATAACCATTATTTCAGACACACTGTGATCAACCAGGTCGTTGTCCAGCAAACAAAGATGGTTCAGAAACTGCATGCACCTTATCGTTGCATATTGTGAATCATGGTTCGTTTTTTGTACCATTTCCTTGTGGCGGGTTGTACGTCCTGAGTTGAACTGTAAGTACAGGCATTTTTCTCCTGCAGAGAATTGCTTATCCCCCTCCTGCTGTCACCGTGGCTGCTGTCTCTTGCTGTATGTTCTAGGGCACATAATGACGGGCCCAGATCTCTGAATACTTCTCCCCGGTGGAACTTTGTGGATGAGAGCTGAGATCACACCCCAGGGAAAAATCCATCCTTGTCACCCTCAGCCCTCGTGAAAAGAGAAAACAACTTTTGTCTCTGGTTCTTGGTTTTCCCTCTGGAACTCTGCTTGTAGATTCATTAAACTGTCTCTCACGGGCAAAACACACTCCACTCAAAAAATCAATACACACCTCTTTGTTTTGTTTTTATCTCTTTGCTATAGTATGTGTTTTGATAGAATGTCTCTCCATTATGAAGGAAAATGATGAGGAGTATCATATTACACTGCCCGGCAGTATAGGTTTTTATTTCCCCGAAGAATACCTATGTGGTGTAAAACATTGATCAAGAATTTACAGTGAGTTGTGAAGGGGCGTGTGTGTGCAGCAGCTACAGCCATATTCCCACTGTAGAGTCTTGCGAGTAAACAACAGCAGAGCTGAAACTTTCATTATTCTACTTTATACCCCGAGGCTGAGGTTAGCAAGGATTATTATTGATTCAAAGTTTAGTTACACCAGAGACTACTGAATTATTACTGTGCTTATTTAAAAACAACAGTTACCTCATTCCACATTCATACCATTTCGGCAGCATCAGGCTTGTTTATTTTTTCGACATCCAATATCCCAATTGTTTCACATCTGCGACATCTCTGATTGGATTTTGACTGAATGTAGTGGGATTACGAATCTCATTCCCGGTTTTGGCATTTAAAAAATTGTGTGGGTGAAAAAATTACAGGTGACATAACAGTTATTGAGTGAAATGAAAAAAAATCAAGTGGGATGTTGATGTCACATCAAGATGTTAAAAGAAGTGCTTTAAAGTGTTCACGTCTGTACTTGAGTGTAATTATTTCTTTCATCTAATTTTCCTCACTGTATATGATCCTCTTAACCAACCCACTCCACCGATTCCTGCCAATGAGGGTTTTCTAATACATTTTCCTCGGGTCTGTGTTGTTTTCCCTGCACTCCCCTGTCACTCTCACTGTTTTTTTTTTCTCTACCTGCTCCTCTCTCCTATATGGACATAAAAAGAGAAAAAAGACAGCTCAGAGGTCTGCTGTTAAAAAAATAAGCAAGGGAGGAATGTGGAGAGAAGTTATCAGGAAAGGTAGAGAAAGGTTCAGAAAAAGAGAGACATACCCCGAGAGAAAAAAGTGTGGAGGATGGTGTAATTCCAGGAAGGCTTTGGCTGGTTCTTGGCTCTCTGTGGGGAGAACAGCGTTGTAATCCCCTGCTCAGCATGCATACTTGGGCAGAGTTTCACCAAATGCCCCTAGTGGCTGAAAACCACAGGGGGTAGACTGGTTTGGCTGTGTGTGTGCGTGTGTGTTTTTCATACATCTGAAGGGGCTGTTTGCAGACTTAATTTAGCCCACAACAGACGATCAAAAGTGGCTTATGATGACGTGTGAGAGTAAGCATTTGCTGGTGCATCCATGCAGACAGGTGGATGATAGGGAATGAGGAGAGGTGTTGCTGAGTATGATATGCTATAACTGAGCAGCCATCCACTAAGCAAGTGACAGTCTTCCTTCTTTTTCTCCAATTACCGGTCTTCTCACCATATACAGTGATTCACAAGCTGTATATAGAAACATTCAGTGAGTTACAGAGCTGTATTCTTCAACATGTCTTCTCGTTTTGCAGCAAGTTATATCTAATGTAAGAGGCTAACCTCTGTTTTTGTATTGTTCTCTTCCCACACTCCACAAAGGCAATTTACTATACTAAAGAGGCGGTTTCTTGTCTGTGAGTTCTTGTTCAATAAGTCGTGATTTTGGATAAAGACAGACATAAGCCGGCTTCTCATTTCCAGCCAGCCACCTCCATCTGATTTGTTTTTCTTTACAGCTGAATTATTCTGTTGAAAACCCCATAAAAGCAGTTTTAAATATGTTGATATACTGCCAAAAAACATTCATGTTTATGTACGTTTCTATTATATGTTTATGATTCTTGACTTTTGCAGTACGTCACTCTTATTATGCTTATTGTGACTATTACATCCCAAAATATCAAGGCAAATTCCTTGTATGTAAAAACCAACATGACAACAAACCTATTTCCTGTTTCCAGAGTTTGACTGACCTGCTGCACTTAGATACGATTAGCTAAGCCATGATTGGATGATGGCTCTTTGGTCAATTTGTGCATTATGAAACTTCCATTAACTCCATGAGCCTCTTCTGTGATAAAATGGAGTCCTGGGATTACTTTTATGGATTTAAGGTTGAGGTTCATTTATTTGTATCGCACATTTCAGACTCAAAAGCAATTTAAAGTGCTTTACATTGGCAAAAGAAAAAAGACAAACAAAACTTCAAAAAGACAATTCATAAAAGAGATAGAAATAAGTTAAAAATAAACATGTTTGATACATATCATTCTTGTAGAAGTACTCAAGTTACCTTTAAAAACATAACTTAATCCATGAAAAGCAGCATTTAATTAAGAGTTTTCAGTTAAGTGTCACTTGTCACTGATGTTGTACACCAAATATTAACCCAGTATTAAAAAGCCGTTGGGTTTATATTTTTCCTGACAACAATAAATGTATGTCCATACTGTAACTTGATGAGACAAAAACTGTTTGATGACTGAGGCGCTCATTTATTTGATCACGTTTCTTGGATAAACCAAGAAACCTCTGTAGGATACAATGCCTCTTGGTCTTCTTTGTCATTTTTGATGCTGATATGAAAATATTTACACATAAAACAAAGAAAGTGCTGGTTCTTTGATTATCGTTCGAATCTAAATCTAAACTATATGAATTGTAAATATGGAGAAGCCCTTTCCCTGAAATGCATCTGTTGTTTCTTTATCTCTGTAGAGCTTCTTTGATGGATGGGACTGCACAAAGAAGAAGGACAAAACCAAAGGCAGGCATGACACACTGTCAGGATGTAAGTCATCAGAACACATTTTATTTAGTATGTTAAAAAAAAAGCCATTGTGGAATTGTTGTATTTGAAATATGCTTTACTATTTCATTCTAATCCGTCTCAGATGACCGCCACAGAGTCAAGCTCCACCCTCTCCTGGGAGACCCCAACTCAGACTACATTAACGCTAACTACATTGATGTAAGTGTAATCCTGTTTTTCTGCCTCTGTTCGACATGGGATACAAATAGTCTGCTGAGTCTCTATCTCTCACACGCTGCAAAGCCACAGTCCATCTCTCTCATTGCTGTAAGCTCACCAGTCTGCTGGCCCACTTTCACCTGGAAGCTTTCATCCAATCAAAGGCCCTTCTAGCGATGTTTTGCCAGCTGCCATGGTTATGAGTTGCTACAGAGAATCCCTGACTCGGCTATCGCTTTTATTAAAACCGAGTGAAATGAATGCATTTAATGCCTTGTGGAGGAAATGAACCTTTCTGTAAGATGCCACAAAATCCCCCCTAAATTAAATAGACATGATTGATGTTATTCAATCTCCGGATGGGCTGCCGGGAGGAGTTGATCCACTGTTCACCTTAACTGTCTGCCAAACATGCAGTGCCATAGTAACATGCTCACTAATCATATTGAAAAACATGTATATGTTGCTAACCTGTCTCGCACAGTCCCATTCATACGTGTTCCCATTCATGAAAAACTAGAGGAGGCTGTGTCTATTCAGAAAGCATAAGTGCACGTTCAGATTCAGAATAGTGGAGTTATTGAGGAAAGAAATCGGCACAGATTTAGAAAAAAGTGATACAATAGTACAGATATACTTGTACTGTAGATAGAAACTAGTATTATGGTTCCCCTGTGAATTCGTTGTCACAGCCCTCAGGTGTTGCTATTCCTTTGAGTCATGTCATGTCAAGCGAGTCTGATATGATTTCTTTATCAAGCAAGATTTATTTTGCACGCCTCTCATTGGGAATAAAGAAAACATGGCACTTGGTGAAACGTTGAGGCAAGCTCATGTTCTCCCTGTGCTGGTTGAGGATGATAAGATGAGAAAAGATCCTGTTTCTGTCAAAATCTTTATAAAGAATATATAATAAAGTTATTTTAGCGAAAGAGAAAATTACGAACTGCATAATTTGACTTGATTTTAGGTGGATTTATCCTTTATGGCCAATTATATCATATAAAGGCTTGACGCTACAGAACTTCTTTTTCCTGTCTTGAATTTCTCTGTAGAGAGTAACCAGTCGGGAAATGCTTTTAGAGAGTTCATTACAATTCCAATCTTTATTCCAGACTCAAGGTCCATATCACATACAAAAAGACAAAACACACATCAATAAATAAGAATAATAACAATGAGAGGGCTTTCAAAATGTGGCCTGCTGTTAGGACTGTAGTTATCATGAGGGTCTCCATTAGCGTTTAGGGCACAGAGGTGCAGGCATTAGAGAGAAAACACCACTCAGCAGCCACTACAGGGTCAGTGTCACTGATGTTACACCCTGACAAGGCTGACCCACTGAGCTGATGTTATCTAGTTAGCCACAGCAAAGCATATTTTGGACAGCCTGTGATTATTTCACCAGAGGTTAAATGGAAAAGTTTTTCCTCCCTCCGAAAATTGCAGTTCCAAAACAGAGTTCACCTCTTTTCTCTGTCACTTAATACCCGAGCCTTTGCTTGGCTGTGGTGAGTGTTTGCTTGAAGAGGTGAGGTACTTTGCATAAGCTCCCTGCACCTTTTGCAAATGTAGAGCCGTCCAGTGCGACATGTCTGTTGCTGATTTACATAACGTCTGCTTCTCAAGAGTAACAGGGTCTTTCTGACAGGTGTAGCATGTCTACACAATTAAACACTTGCAAACATACACACACACACACACACACACACACACACTCAGACATAAAGACAAACACACGCACGTGTCATACTGATACTGAGTAAAAATTATACTGAAATGACACTTTTTTCACTAACTTAAAGGCTTCAAAATCACCTTCTTCGACAAGTGGTCAGCTCCTAAATGAACAGTTATTTTTTTGACAGGTTAGAAACTAAATCCTGCATTTAGTATTTTATCGTCTTGCTTTTCATATTGGTTGGCAAGTGGGTGGGATTTCTTTGATAAAAGGGGATTTCACTCATTTCAGTGCGGCTGTCAAAGTTCCCGAATGTGATCGTTGTTTGTCAATGTTTTTTATATCAAATCTCATCATAGTCTCGAGCAAGCCACCATTAATATTGAATTCACCTTTAAGTGTGATTGTTACTCATTAGTCAGGCCCAGTAGATTTCATTGAGAAAGTCTTTTTTTCTAGTTTATCTAAATAGGAAATTCCAAACCCAAATTCATAGTAAAGGGACAAATATGTTTTCAATTGGGAAAAAAGCAACCCATAGATTAGTGTGAACAAAAAAAAACTTGGCCTCATTAATTCTAACAAAAAAATAAATGGTCTATTATTCATTAAGCACATTCCTGCTGTACTTATACCACACACACACACACACACACACACACACACACACACACACACACACACACACACACACACACACACACACACACACACACACACACACACACACACACACACACACACACACACACACACACACACCACACACAACACACACACACACACACACGTCTTCCAGTCTGTCTTTTACCATAACTCCTGCTTACTAAAAGCTTATTTCATTAACTAGCCTATATGTCTTCTTTTTCTACTCCTTCCCCACCTTCTCGACCTTGGACCCTGTAGATTCGGATTAACAGGGAAGTAAGTACTTCACTGCTCGTTCTGCTGCCTTCCATCGCTCTCTTTTCTCTCTCTTCCCCCCTCTTCTCTTCTCACTTCCCTCTTCTCTTTCGGCTATCCTCTATCCACAAATGCTCAAAGGTCAGTGTGTTCAGGTTTGTGCACATTTGACAAACCCTCTCTTTCCCAACCTCCACCCAAAAAAACATGCCCTTTTAGCTAATGATTTTAAATGAACGCAAGGAGATGTGTCCTCTCCGGAAAGAGGACCCTGTGGTTTTTAGTTCTCATAAGTGGCAATGACTCTGGAAGTATATTTGCCATGGCCACCGTCTTAAGTGGAGGAGTGGTGCTGTAGCTGTGCTGATTGCGTTCAGTCGGGGGGCCAGAGGAATTGTGGATAGCAGGCCTCACAGCACTGGTCATCCATCTCCATTTCAAACATGTCCCTGCTTACATGACTGAATGAAATTCAGTTTTGCTAATGTATCAGCGAGGCGGGCAACTCTCCATGTTAGGTAGAGGTTCTCAGCAATAAAATGAAAACTGATATCAACAAGGATCTTGCCCATCATGCTGATTTGATGAGAGCCGGTGGACTTGAGTGTTCATTCAGATTATTCCCGACCTGCTCTTCAACTACAGAGTCATGTAAGGTAAATGGGGCGTCAATTATCCTCCCAGCTGCTCCTCTTAAAACGACAACAGACAGTGAACCACAGCATCCACGTGGTTGTCTAAGCGGTGTCTGCTTCTTTGAGATTGCCAGGTGTCTCCTTGACTGTGAAAGGTTAGATAGTGCTTATTTTCAGGACTTCCTGACACACTGGTTGTCTTTAAATTGCTAATGCTTGAAAGGCGCTCCGGTGACATCTCAATGTTCATTCATATTCACCCCATATTCACGGTATGAAAATGTCTGTCATCTATATCAAAGGGCGTCACATCCTTTGATATAAAGTATCCCAGAGTACTTCACTGTATGTATTGGATTTTTGCCTTGAAAACTGTTTATGTTTGTGATGATATCATGCATTTATGTGAAACCTGTGTATGATATTCTCATGTCTTGTGAGAAGAATTCAAAAATAACTTTTTGTTGGTAGAAACCGTTTGTATTCATTTAATTTATCATATCAGAAACTACAAATCACACCTTCAATACAACATCTTTATTCTCCTGAAATTGAACTGTGTGCACCTTAAGTTTATTTATTAAATCTTTATTAAACTGTCACAGGGACACACTTTTTGTTTAGCCTGACTTTTAGTTTGAAGTGCCAGAGATCTATCAACTTTTAGCCAAAAAATATTAAAAACCGATGTGTTGACTCAACAACTCCGAATTATCTGTGGAGACTGTGAGGTCAAACACATGGTCAGGGGTCAGCTTTAGGTCAAACAGTGTTGGACAGTAAACTGGATTCAGAGTTACAGTAGGTCAGAAGGAGAGCAGAATGCAGAGGAAAGGAAAGGGTGAGACAGAAAAACACCCTCCTGTACCGCAGTGCCTGGGGAACAGATGGCTTACTCAGCATGTCATCCCTCTTCTCTCTTTCAGGGCTACCATCGATCCAACCACTTCATCGCCACTCAGGGTGAGTTTTCTTGGCAAGGCTATAGTGTGTGTTTATTGTGAAATTGTGTGGATGAAGAACAATTCCATAGGATAAATGGGAGATGATCTAACCAATGAGCCCACTCTTGCAAAGTATCTTGCCTGAAGTCATCTCTATAGAAAATCCAAAGGTGATGGTGTGACTCCCGACCTGTGAAGGCTGTGCTAGTGATGTCCCTGAATCAATCATGAGAAGACATGAATAATAAAACACATTAATAACAGCTCCTCAATCTCTAAGACATGTGGAGCAGCGTGTTCATTGTCGGGGAGAGGTCCTTTCATTCACCCTCTATCGCTCAAATATAAAGTCGCTACTGATGGACAGTCGGACTCTATTAGAAAATATCCCACGGTTGTTTTCTAAATCCCAAAGAGTGTCAGTTTCTAGGGAGCTACCGTCACAAAGTCACCCAAGGTCTGCTCATCCGCTTATCTTGCAAACACACCTCCCCTTCCTCCCGATAGAGAGATGAAACCTGTGAGAAAGAAACAAATATGTCAGCAGTGTTTTTGTCTCTCTGAGCATTTCTTTTCTACGTGATCCTCGTTTTTAAGTTGTATCTCCCTTCCTAAATGTCTCCTCCTCAGATGACAATGAGTGACTGATGGTCCCGTGGGCCTCCATCATCAGCTACTGCTGTTGTTTGTCACCCATCACCCCTTCACTTACTGTCTGGAATTCCCAATCACTTTATTGACAGCACAATCTTGAGAGATCAGTACCCCGCTGTCTGAGCAAGGACACTTAGGTCGAAATAAAATGAAATTTCACAACAGAATCGAGAACTCCCATATTGAGCAGAGCGTGCTTTCATGCTGCCATGTTTGTCTTCTTCTCTCTTATTTCTTCCCACATCCCACCAGGACCCAAGCAGGAGACTCTCTATGATTTTTGGCGGATGGTGTGGCAGGAAAATTGTTTCAGCATCGTCATGATCACTAAGCTGGTGGAGGTTGGCAGGGTAAGTGATGTGCACTCCCCCCTTCTTCCCCTCCTGTCACCACCCTCTGCACAGAAACACCCCACATCCACCATAAAGGAACATTTTGGTTTATATTCTAAAGGCTTCTATGTGTGTGATAAGTATAGATCTCACAGGAGCTTGCTCTGCATGCAAAGTGCAGCCTGAGAGCTGTTCATTTTGACAAAGATACCCTGCATTTATGTGAAATCACAGGCAGGAATAGTTGAACATTGTTGGGGAAATTGGCTTTTTTTGCTGAAAGTTAGACGAGAAGATCAATAGCAATCAGTTAGCTAAGCACAAAGACTGTGCAAAGTTACAGCAATACAACCTACCAATCAGCACCCTTATTGAACATTGTGAAGATATGAGAAATAACAAGTACATCATTTTAATGGCTACTTTTTTAACTTTGGCCAGAGCCAGGCAAGCAGTTTTCCCATGTTCCCAGTCTTTATGCCCTGACTGTGGTAACAATCTTCTCGACTAACCCTCGGCGAGAAAGTGTAAAAGCATATTTACCAACATGTCAAAGGAGTTTTTTACTTTCTGTATCAAATTCTCTTTGTGGCAATTGAAAACCAAGCAAGTATACACAAATCTCTGTGAACACATGTTTTCCACATAATTTGCTACATGGAGTATCTTTTATTTGTCTGTTTTTAAAGGTCATGGTATTATGATGATTTTCATGATGACTAAAGTGATAATGGAGTCCATAAAATATGCTATGAAATATTTATGAGCCTAAAATGTCTCAGCCACATATCTGCTGTCCTTGTATACACTGCATGACTACACAGGTTTCACGGCTTCACTGTACGGCTGTTTTCACTACCCTCACATAAATACCTGTTGTATATAATTCTGTATATAAGTACCCGTTCCTGTTCAGCCCCAGAGACAAATGTATTACTAAATGGATTGTTAAAATTGCACTGCTTTTCCAGCAGTCGAACCCACATCTGATTTCCAACAAATCTGGGAACAGTCGAAAAATGACGACTGGTCTGTGTGGCTAAATCCAAATGGCACCATTAAATAAATACAAATACCTCCTTTGTGCATGGTGTTGGTAAAAAAAGATTGCTGCCCTCCTGTCCATCATGCTTCCCACCATTATGTGATTATTGTGTTTTTCTTTCCTTTGCCTTCTGACATGAAATACCTGCAGAGGAACAGACTGTTCTTGTTCTTCCACAGTATTTGACGTCAGTGACGTAACTATCGACGGTGCAGCCGGTGCAACGCACCGGGGCCCAGAGCCGGCCAGGGGCCCATGCAAAATATATATAATCCTTTTTTTTTTGGGGCCCCAATGGCATTGACCGGTTCACGCAGTCTTCAAAGTAACCAAGTAACCTAAAGTAATTTGTAATTTGTCTGCCCAATGACCTTGCTCCCTTTCATGTCATGTGAAAAAATGTAATAGCTTGCATTTATAATGTACAGCAAACCAAAGCACAAGAGCGGCGCTCAAAGGAGAAAGGACAAGAGAGAACAAGGAGATGTAACTGCTAAACTGACGAAATTATGTCATACATCTTCCTCGAAATTGAGCGTTAACGTTAGCAATGTTGACGTGTAGCGGCAGCCGGAGCCGGAGGCTAACGATAGCTCACCTGCCTCTCCACCATCATTGCCATGTAGCTCCACAAGTGAAGCTGTATCCGTGGCCGTGGCTGTGCGACCTTCTCCAGCCAGCCAGGAGGAGAGGCTGGATTTGGCTGTGCCCGGCGGTGTTCCAACAGTTCCCCCAAGGGCCCCAACCTATAGGGGACTCTATGGCGCTATTGAGACCCCCAACTCCAAGATCAAAAGCTATATTATAGCAACCGGTCCATGTAGGCCTACCAGCCCATTCCCCAGAGACAAACATCAAGGAAACAGGTTTAATGTTCTTTTTAGTTCGCTGTGCCGTTGTCAGGCTGTGGTGGTCTGAGGCCAGGGCAGGCTGTTGTTGATAGCCTACATGTGGCGCTTCTGAGTGGTTGTGTATGTCCCTGCGTGTGTGAGGGCATCAGCGTGCGCTTATGTTTGGGGCGATGGGGGGCCCAAAACAATATTTGCACCGGGGCCAATCACAACCTTGTTATGCCACTGTTTGACGTGTCACAAATACATTTCACACAAACAAAGGACAAATTGAAGTGCAAAATATTTGATTATAATGATCACTTACATAAGAATTATAATGACTCTGGTTATCTTTGTGCCGTGAAATTATAAAACAAAATGTTTGGTCGATTGAATGCTCAATGCTTATTTCAATGCTTACATTTCAGATATAGTGGTAAGGACACCTGAATTCAAAAAGTAGACTGAGTAAAGTTTTCTAAAATAAAGCCCATCTCAAACCTGTAATTTATTGCTTTTTGCACTTTCATAATCAAAGATGATATCTTGTGCCATTTCTTCAAACGTCACCTTGCGGTTGCAGTGGTGATATTAACGATATAATAACGCTATTTACGTAAATTGACATTGTTCTCACTCATGATGCTCCGTCCTAACTAAGAGAGTGGATTGGAATCAAATATCATTGAAGAAATTCAGCTGGTATAATCTTCCTTTTAGATACATGAAAATATTTGAGCAGTGGCGGCGCCAGGGTATGGCTGAGGTAGGCTACAGCCATACCAATAAATGGCATAAATAATAATAATAAGCAAAATGCTAAATGTTGAGAACACGGCTTGCGAAAATATACGGGTCGTGTCCACAACACACAAACTGATCCTGCTGTTACAACAAGTGCACGTTACTGATGCAATATGGTTGAGACCATTCGGGCTTATGCTAGAAGAGGGGTGCAAGGAATAGTCTAAGTAGTGGGGGAGTTTTATACACTAAAGGTGTGGAAATTCTCTGGTGTTATAATATCAACGCGGCCGCGGTCAGATCAAAATGCCTCCGAATGCAATTTCAATAGAGTCAGACCTACAGCCAATCAGAGCAACGAAACGTTGGGTCTGCGTCATGCATTACTGATGAGATCAGTCGGAACCGCCATTCAGTATCCCCATTGGATCTTCAACGTGAACTATCATACGTCACGTTCACAGTGATCCCTTTTTATTTACTACAAGACAAATGTCCCGTTTTATTTCATACAGTTCCATTTTGATTGAGACAGGGAAATAATCTAAACCTCACGTGTGGCGTTTCACTGTCAAGGGGGGCGTGTATGTAATTACATTGCAAATACTGACTTGAGCCCCACCACTGTATGGGTTAGCCCTACCATACATTACCCAACAAAAATACTCTGGCACCACCTCTGTATATGAGGCATCTTTTTCAAAGAGAAGGGTAGATTCAAAGGAATTGCTCCTTAAGAGGGATACATTTTAGGAACATTGGGGCACTTTAGGACTCAAATGGATAAATTGAGGAAGCACTGGATCACATTGTCTCCCAAAGGATGAATAAGAAAAAGTGGATTTTGCTTAAGGATGGATGTTTTACAGCCAACTGTATAGACCTTTTTAGTTCAGTTTATCCTCAAATTAGGCAGGAAATTGTATTTTGGCAATTGCAGAATGCAGTTCACTCATACACCGCTGTTGTACATGTGGACAGCTGTACACATGCATTTGCTATGACGATATTATTTATGATCAAAAACTAGCGCGTGTAAAACTTTTCTAACTAAGCGAAACATCACAGACATGTATACTGTATACAGTGTAAAGGGTTGAACCAGTCGATAGTTTTTTGCTTTGAACTGGAGAAAGAAAATGTTGATATTCAATCTTTTAAAAACACGATCAAACGGATACATTTATGTTACACCTTTTTTCAGCTGGTGCATTTTTCAGGAATTTTAACATTAGGATTTAACACTGTGGTTTCCCTATTTTAAAACAGGTGAAATGCTCTAAATACTGGCCTGATGACAGCGAGATGTATGGTGACATCAAAATCACCCTTCTTAAGACGGAGACACTGGCTGAATACACAGTTCGCACCTTTGCCTTGGAGAGGGTAAGTTTATGTAACCCTCCTTTCCATGTATTAGTACTTGTTATATTCTTAGAAGTAGGCCTAGAAGTAGAACATTAATAGAGGGGATTAGGTACTTGACAGGATTTACTGCAGATGTGTTTGAGGGCCACGTATTAAATTGGGAGGAATTAACACCAGTAGCTATGAGGATGCCCCTGCCGTCTTTGTGCCCCTGATGGACTCCATCCTGTCAATCTCCTGGGGGATCTATCATTGGAGGGGCTCAGAGCGACGCTGGATTGACAGTGGCGCAAACACAGAATTATCATCAAACTGTCACATTTGCTCTCCATGGGCACACGCTACTGCTTATTCAAATCGGCACGAATTGGGGAGCTGGTGACAGCTTGTTTTTCATAGCTCTATTCCTTTCTTTTTTTGGAATTCTGTCTTCGACAAATCTTTGCTTTGCTCCGCTTTACTTTGTCATCTCTGTACAGCGGAATAAATTGCTGTGTGACTGCAGCAGCCTCCCAGTAGAGGGGAGAAAACTCACAGCCCTCCATGAGCTCCGAGAGCTTCAGTAATTCCTTCTGCGTGTCTGTCACATTGCAGCTGCTACTAGCATGTTATGCCCAGAGGCCTAACACCTCATGTAAATAATGTCCTGGTTGTCCTCACAATGAAACACATTTTCTAACATCAATCTCAGAGAGGGAATGTCTCTAAATTGATGGGAGCACGTCTTGGATGAAATTAGGGCCTGCAGGCTACTATGGTTAATGTGCAAACCATGTAAATGTGGTGTTTACATATAATGCTAATGTGCACTGTGTTGCTGTTGACAGAGAGGATACTCAACCAAGCATGAGGTGCGTCAGTTCCACTTCACATCCTGGCCGGAGCACGGAGTGCCCTATCATGCCACCGGACTGTTGGCCTTTATACGGAGAGTGAAAGCCTCTACGCCTCCTGACGCCGGCCCTGTGGTGGTCCACTGCAGGTAAAGTGACGCTTAGCAGCAGCTGTATCCTGTGGTGTCATAAAACTAAACTAAAGGTTGTAAATGTTATCACAATTCATGTTTCAGAATATGACTATTAGTATTAGTAGAAGATATTATTCTTCTTTGGGAGGCTCAGAGCCCGCTATGATGTTCAGAATGAGGGAACGTGATCAGCAACTTTGCCAGGCTAATCTTTGGTAGCCTTGCTAGCTAGGTTAGTTGTCCTGTGAAACAAGTATTGAAACAGAAACTAAAATACGGGCCCAGGTATCTTGTCTTTTATGTTAAAATACCTTATTTCCAGAAATCAAATGTAATCTTGAGTAAAAAATACTAATTAAACCCTAAGACATTGGATAGAGATATTCAGATGTAGGCCTACTTTCACTGAATTGTCAGTTTTGGCCTAGCGAATCTTCCATTACCTGAGTGAAAGAAAGTAAAGCCAAAGCATAACGTTTTGTAAATGATTGGTACATTTTTAACACGGGGGACGGGGATGCATTCAGGTCATTTTACTAACGAGAGGGATTGCATCACCCCCAAACCCCCTTCTACCTAGCTAGCATGGTATTGCCCCATTTGCTAGTTTTAGCTTGGCAAATGTTATAGCTGTCTTGCTAAATGTTCCCATTTTCCTTAAAATCCTGTTGTGCTCCTGAGGAGGGCTATTGTATCTTTTAAAAACATTCTAACAACAATATCACTCACTCAAAAGTCTGTTGATGTATTGCTTCATGATTGTACATGGTGCCTCATGAAAGATGTCCCCTGTGTGCAGCGTGGGGGCGGGCCGCACCGGCTGCTACATCGTGCTGGATGTCATGTTGGACATGGCCGAGTGTGAAGGCGTGGTGGATATCTACAACTGTGTCAAAACCCTCTGCTCCAGACGCATCAACATGATCCAGACAGAGGTCAGGTCAAGAGCACAGCGAAATAAAACCCATTCACATTTAAACTCAAGTCAAATATTAAAGATGTTCTGGCATACATTTGCTTCACTGGTCATAGTATTGTAGCGTGTTCTCCAATGGAAAACTTCCGGAGAGTCAAGTTTTTAAACATTAGCGTTTCCCTTTTGCTGTTTGAAAATTCAAAGAATGAGTGGGGTGCATTATCATACTCCCCCTCTGGGATTAATGTATAGGTCATTGCAATAGTTGTAGAGAAAAGACTCACATTGTCTCTCAGTGTGCTGCGTAGGCACGTGCCGTTCTCTAGATGTGCTGATCATTTGCATAGTCACCTCTTATTATGTAAATTTGACATTGACTTGTTTATTACATTTGTAGTAATTTACAGGGGTCCTCTAATTAAATGCACATCACATGTGTTGTACATGGTTCATTCAGAACCAGGTTATGAAAAATCTTTGCCATTAGTCGTATTGTTTGATTATTTTCTCACATCTGTTTGCTTCTCAACTCACCTCTATGGTAATGTTTGTTCACCTGTCAGCAACACACAACACTCTTATGTGTTATCAGACAGCACCTAAAGTAAATACATGCACAAGCACAGCACTAAATGATGTTACCTGTTGTCCTTTCAGGAGCAGTACATCTTCATCCATGATGCTATTTTGGAAGCCTGTCTGTGCGGGGAGACGGCCATCTTGGTAAATGAGTTTGCGGTTACTTACAAAGAGATGCTGCGAGTCGATTCCCAGAGTAATTCCTCTCAGCTACGGGAGGAGTTTCAGGTAAGTCATTACCTCGACATGTTCTCGATCAACTTCCTAGGCAGATATTTGTTTTGTTAGAATATGAAACCATTTCACATCCTCCCACTCCCTCTTTTAAGTTGTTCTTTATGATGTTGTTTGGTTTTGTTATGTTTAAATTGTGATACTAAAGTTACGTTTGACCTAAGTAAAGGGAAATCTGGTGATATGATAATGTTTGTAAATGTTGTAATTGTCCCTCTTCAAAATGCAGTAAAAAACATCAAACCAGGTACTCTGAATAACACAGCCCACACACAGCATCAACCAAATGATGTCATACTTATTTCATTCTTCTAGAACTTTAACAACAATATAATGTTCGTATTACTGGAGTACTAATACTATTATAGTATTCTGTAGTAATAATACTACTACAATATTCCTAATGAGAGCACAGATGAATAATTTCATTATTTTGTCCTTGTACCTGCACTTCTACTCTTAGTACCAGTAACAATAATATTGTAAAAGTAATATTAACGTAATGTTGTTAAGCGGATGGTTTGCATATTAAGGTTACATCATTTATGATAAAATGTATACTTTTACAGTCAATTGTAACCTGGAGAGTATTATATTTGTGTATTTACTTTCCATTTATTCTGATATGTACAGTACTGTACATTTGCATTTAAAACAGTATGATTTGTTCTCAGACAGTTACATAAACTATAGACGATGAGTACATCCTCTCTGCTGTGGAAATGCACTTACAGCAGACATTTGAAAATCAACAGAGTGCAGAAAGTAAGGGGCTAATGGATGGATGTGTTTATATATGTGTGTGATTGTGCATGTGTGTGTTTTTGTGTCTCATATATACACTCATAAATGTGTGATTGTGCGTGTGTGTGTTTTTGTGTCTCATACAGTATATACACTCATAAATGTGTGTGTGATTGTGCATATGTGTGTTTTTGTGTCTCATACAGTATATACACTCATAAATGTGTGTGTGGATTTGTGCAGGCGATATTGTTGGTTTCCTTTTACTTTTGATTTTGTGAAATCCTCTGCCTGGTTTGTAGGAACGTGGTGTTAGAACATTGTATTAGATGTTGATTAGGAGAGAAAAGAGCCAGCTGTGTTCCCACATGCTGTACCTGCTGCCCCCCCCAACCCCCAAACGCCCCTCCATGTCGCTGCACAGCTCAAACAGCAGCCGCATTGATTCCAGGTTTAGCATTTCAAAGTAATACTGGAAAAGGGTCCATTCTTTGTTTTTGAAAGCCTCTCCACCGCCCAATGAGCTCTGTGTTTGTCTTTTACTCTGTCATCCTGCCGGCTGCAAACAGCCGACCGGTAGTACTGACATCAGCAAGTCACAGATCTATTATTGATGCTGTGTGTTTATGATCCAAATGTTTTTATCCCGTTGTCTAATATAATTACAGCTAAATGAACAGAGAGTTCATCAAGAACATTGGTATGCAATATTTCCCTTTGAGGTTTTCTTTTTCTTTTTTTTATTCATTACATTTCCTTTTAGAAAACAGTCAGCCTAATTTATCTTTCATTCTTTTAAATCAGTTTGTCAACGTGATGTTCAGAATATTACGATTCTTTCAATTAACATTATTGTATTCTTCATTCTCTGCGTCTCAGTCCTCCCTCCTTCTGTCTGATTCATTTATTTTCTTCCTCCTACTCCTCCCTAACATCTTTGAATCCTCTGCAGTGTCTCCATCCTTTTAATTCTCTCTTCAATTTTATTTCATCCTCCTGTCGCTCTCATCTCACCTCTCACATGTTTTCATTTGCAGACGCTCAACTCTGTGACTCCCCACCTGGATGTGGAAGAGTGCAGCATCGCTCTGTTGCCCAGAAACCGAGAAAAGAATCGCAGCATGGATGTTCTGCCGCCTGATCGCGCCCTGGCCTTCTTGGTTACGACTGAAGGGGAGAGCAACAATTACATCAATGCTGCTCTCGCTGACAGCTTCCATCGGCAGGCTGCGTTCATTGTGACCCCTCACCCTCTGCCGGGGACCACAGCGGACTTTTGGAGGCTGGTCTTCGACTACGGCTGCACAGCAGTGGTCATGCTCAACCAACTCAACCAGTCAAACTCTGCCTGGGTAAGGTCAAAGTGTTATACTGCTTTATTGCCAATCGATTTGTTGACACTATGCAGGAAAATAGGCATAGCATTTTTTTTGAGTTCACCTGCACAAGAGCTGCTCTTTGGCATACAAGTTTTTGGTTTCAATCTTTAGTTATCTGAACTTTACTTCAGACTTTCCCAAGAATACGCCGCCTTTACTAATAATAAAGTGTCTGTATCTTACTGTGCTTAGGATTAGTTCCTTCATGCCATTTTGTTGGGCTTTGATCCCTAACCACATTGATCTCAAGGCATGACTAGATAAGACCCGCCCCAGTCTTCCCTTCCCCTTCTCAAGATACATCTCTGAAGAATAGGCTTGCATTACCCTCCAGCCACATATCCGGGTTTTTTTTCCGTTGGTGTTCCACTTTTTCTCATGAGCATATGTCTTCCTCTGCTGTTCCCTGATCTTTCTTTAAGACTATAATGGATATTATAATGAGTTAGAGCACAGCACATGAATCAAGTTTAATATTCAATTAAAAACAACACCAATCGCTTGGAACAAATAACCAAAAGATGAGATTTTAAAGTCGGTTAAGCCTTTGTTAAACAGAACTCTTTTGGTAATTAAAGGTGGCTGGATCTCTAAGGGCAATGCTTAAAATTATAAATAAGGCTCTATCAGATAATCAGGTGCTTATCTGAGAATTGCTTTAAAAGTCAGCATTTAATCCTAGAGGCTTAGAAGTATAGTATCATATTAGAGGCTTTTTTATCAAGAGTTTGGCAGCAAACTGTTGAGCAAATGAAGCTATACGTTCAGCAAACATTTCATTTTACCTTGTATTAACACCTTATAATTAATAAATACACAAGCCAAAAGCCAAAGACATTGAAGAAAGTGGCTTATGCAAATCTAGATTTTTGTTTTTTAGGAGTAAAGGCTACACTTACAAGCCTTGCCTGGTAGGACTTTCAAAATTAAGCTTGTGAAATATGTAATACATTGTATCACAGCCTCGGAAAGCAGCTGCTTACTTTTAATTATGAATACTATTCAGTCCAAGGTCTACCTTAGATTGTGGTGAAAACAGAATTCACTTGATTAATTAAATCACCAAAGTGAATATATTTGTATATTTATTGCCAGTTTTGAATCGGTGTGTTTGACAAAAACATAACTTGATTTAATAAAAGTCTTTGATTGAAAAAACGATTTTGACAAAAAGAACCACCAAACAAGCTGCTGCAAAGTTACCCACTATTTAACTTATTTTATCCAAAAAACTGGATATATTCTTTCTGACTTTATTCATCTGAATATTCACTGGGTAGATAAATCTGCTAAAAGGTAAACATTTAACAGTAATTCATTGCTATTTGGCACTCACACTGAGAGCATTTTACTGAAAGATGTTTTTTTTGATGAATTGCCTCTCAACATGACTTTAAGTGCTTTGACAGGCTTTGTAACTGTGATACTATGTTAATACATTATATTACATCTTGAATCATTGAGTATGATTTGCTCATTAAATGTATTAATTAAGAGTTTCTGTGTTGCCTTTTTTCATTCATGCCATTTTAGAACACCCTAGTCTAGTAATATACAAATAAACAGAAATAAATTATAGCTAACCCCTTTCAAATGTTATTCTTCTTTTACTCTGCTTGTAATGTTGTTCATACTTTCTTTCAATGTAATGCAGTTAATTTTTGTATTGCTTGAATATTGTTATCACCATCTTATCTTGTTCTCACCAAGACATCGCTATAAACTCTGTTAAAGAGTTCACACATGGCACAGCAGTACTCTGCATCTTTCTTGTTACAAGAAAGCAAAGAATGTTACATTTCTCCCTCCTCTTGCTGCTTCTCCCCGCTCATTAACACCAGTAGGCTACGGTTTCATCTTTTATTTTAAGTAGGAGCAGGCACACACCATACTCCAACTGTATTATGTCATTTCCTTTGCGTTATCCTTAGACTTTAGACTTTTCCCTAATATCATCATTTCAGCTTTTTAAATCCCTTTGCTCTTTGATGATCCAAGGTTTTGAGAGCAGCAAAGGATTTTTTTCTGGGCTACAACTGCCGGAGAATAAACGAGTGCTAACACTTAACATGTAATCACTGATAAAAAATCTCTCTCTTTCATTTACCTGGCCCTCTGTCTGTAGCCGTGTGTTCAGTACTGGCCGGAGCCCGGGCTACAGCAGTACGGGCCCATGGAGGTGGAGCTTCTGTCCATGTCTGCTGACGAAGATGTCATCACTCGTCTGTTTCGGGTCAAGAATGTCACACGGGTGAGTCATTCAACAAAGCCTGCACAGGACATTTTGTGACACTCAGTGGTATTTCACAAAATGAACATGAACCTTATTAGAAATGCATTAGTTGTGGCCTTCTCCAGTAATTCACATTTGACTACCAGTACATTTAGAGCTACCAGCTGTAATGTGCCCCTAAACACGACATGACACAAGTCCTTCAAGTCAAAGAACTATAGACTCGGTTGTAATAATACTGTGTAGATTATGATTTGAATTTCTATCTACTTGTAAGCAAACTCAAAGGATGAGTGTTTCACTTGATGCTGGATTTCCACACAGTTTCGTGCCTATGCATCATTATTTATCCATATTTCTTTCTTATGCATAAACAACGGTGCTTCTCTAGTGTGTGCCTCAAGGGAAAGAGGAGGTTGTCAAATAAATAAAATGTAAATACACTCTAAAAAATATAGCCTGGAGATGTGCACTGAGCACAATGTTAAAAATACAAAGATAGCAATGGTTCATAGATTGTATCATACATACTACAAAGGACATTGTTCTGTTATTCGTTAGTCCAGAAAATAGAACCAGACGCACCAAGATGTTCCCATAAGAGTGATACATATTAAAATAATTTTCTATGGCAAACATGCAAGAAAAGCCCATTAACAGAGAGGCAATAAAGGTCATTCTTTCCCTTTTTTCAATTTCTTCTTGTCATTTCGATAAGCGCCTTAGGTGCATGTTGGCATACCAAAGAGGGGGCTTTTATCATCATAATGCATTGCTTATTTTCCGTGGCAGGACACTCTTCTCAAGCTGCATAGCAGACTCTTTTACATTTCTTCACACATTTTTACAAAGTATGTGGCATTTAGAGAATTAGGAAGACCTTGTGAAACAGGCTAAATCAAGTATCTGGCAGCTCTGTCATGGTAGAGGGAGCACGGGGGATGTCAGGGAGGTATTTTCTAAAAAAATAAATAAAAATGGTTGATTCTACGTGACTATGCAGGTATGGTTAAAGCCTGCACATTTGCATAAGTACATGCATGCATTCCACTCAGGATCACTGTCAACCCAATTATTGAAGAAATCTGTATGCAAGGCATTTCTTGGCTGCTATTAGAAGCAGCGTGACATGCTTTGCACAGAACTTCCTTTCTTGATTGGCATCCTCACCTCCTCTGTCGACCGCCCTTGTCATTCTCCTCTCCACCCAGAGCACCTTTGTTGCACTCAGTACGTACCACAGTCAAGCAGAGGGCAACTTAACACCGTGTGGGAAAAGTCGAATCACACAGAAATAACATAAACCTCTTCCTCTCACTGCATTAGGGTGTGTTCTTCCTGTGTGTGACAATGATATATACTGGTAGGGAGTAAAAGTCAAAGAAAGTGCATTGTAAGCGTATGTATGTGTGAGTTGTATAACAAAAAAAAAAGAAGAGTACATTGTGTAAATCCCAGCTCCATTGAGGCAATTCCTACGTGCATCATTGGTGTCTTTGCCAGCCCAATTTGCATGACTTACAGTTCTCCACTGGTCCTTAAGTATTAGGTGAGATTCCACGGGACAAAGTTATGAACACACAGGGACCTCTCACACACACATCCCGGGCCTGGCTTACCTCTACAGACCTATATATCTCAAAGTCAGTCTGCTGAGTGAGCACAGCTGAGTGCCAGCACACAGCCTAGGGAGCACTCTTACACGGGTGTTAACTGGCACACACAGAAAATACTAAAACAACCAGAAAATGCACTTTAACACAGACACAAACAGGAGCAAGCACACTTGCACTCACAGCACTGGTTTACTCATGTATTTTTCTTTTTTCTGTTGCATCCCAAGCTCCAAGAGGGCCAGCTAGTGGTGTGTCAGTTCCAGTTCCTGCGCTGGTCGGCGTATCGAGATGTTCCCGACTCCAAGAAGGCTTTCCTCAATCTCCTGGCTCAAGTGCACAAATGGCAGAGGGAGTGTGGAGAAGGTCGCACTGTTGTCCACTGCCTGTGAGTAATCTGTTAACAACACACATCATGTACTGTTAATTAAAAGAGAAAGAGAGAAGGCAGAAATACGTTCCTCTCTGAAAAGGTCTCAGAGAGGACATTACTGCTGTTGGATAGTGACATTTAAAAGTGCATTTAAATCAAAATCTTATTCTCAGAGGGGAGAATCACATAAATGTTAAAATATGGTGAATCATGACTGTTTGATGAGAAAGAGTCTGTGTCGTGTTGTGACTGTGATGGTTTATGTGGGTTTTTCTGGGCAATGAGATGCGATGCATTGAAAAGTATTTTTCCTTGCTAGTATTTTCATAATGTAGAAAATCTAATTGTGGTGTAGTGCAGCAGTGTGTGTTGTTGTATGCCCCTCTGTTGTTCTAAGCCCCCGGGGTGCACATCCGTTGATGAATATGAATGGGCCGTCCAGCTCATTGCAAACCCATCACACGTTTATCTCCACCACCCCCATCCGAAAGCACATCACTCAGCGCTGTCACACAGTGTTACCCACGACAACCAGGAAAGAGATTATGGAGATCAAATCAATTATGGCTTAATACAGAATGCGATGGATCTCACTACAGTAAATCCAGCACTGCCAAAGCACTGACGACGATTGATTACCTTAATATTGCCTGTTTACGCTGCGGAGGCTTCCATGCCCACCTTCCCTGCGGATGTCTCAGGAGAGAGGAATTGGATTGTCCTCCACCACTTTATTGATATTGCCTTTAATTTATGATGACCAACACAATATTTCCAAGGATCCTTGCTCTTATTTCTTGATTTTCCCTTCCTTTTCTTGTGTCATTATTTGTATCAAGATATTGCATCTGCATGCTGTATGAACGGTATCAAGTGTTTTTCATGAGGTACAGTTGCATGAACACAATAATGGGGTTATCAGATTACACACATTCTTTCCTGCTTATACTGTGTTATTGTCTTCGGGAGCTCGAGCTGGAGACGGGAATATACATGTTTACATTGAAATGTACTGACAGTTGATGTCTGAACCTACAGTTCATCTAATGGAAGGCAAAGCAGCACAAGCTTTTTTGGTGGGGTATGTTTAAACACAAGGCCGCTTAAATTACAATAAAACATTATTCTTAGTCATGTTTGGTAGCCCAATTAAGAATAATTATGGTGATCCATTTTTCTCTTAATATGTTTCTCTCTTGGGTTTATGACCTAGACAGTTGGAAGGATTATCTTTATAAATTCCTTGAAACAAATGTTTTGGCAGGTTTGTAATGATCACTTTGTTTATTGTTGTCATACTCATTTGGGGCCAAAGAGGCTGCAGTGCAGCACTACCTAGTGTGCTTGGAATAGCAAAGCTAAAAAGCTCTTGTTGGTAAATCATTAAAAACCATTACAACTCACCCTGAAGGGAGAATCTTATTGAAGTCCAAAAATGTAAACCTCATGATGGCTAGAGGAAATGTCTAAATGTTTTATCTCAATCAATGACTATTTGTCAATATATTTCACACAAATGTTCCATTCATCATCAGTGGCAGACAGACGAGTCAACATTGTTCGTTAGAAGAAGAAACACATAATTGTAAATAAGATTTACAACCACAATGCTAGAAATCTCCATAACCTAATTTCTATAAAACCCTCCTCTTCCTCACGACCTGCCATTTTGCAAAGTATTATTCTGAATATTGGCTTTTATTTACATTCGCTCACTGTCCTCTAAATCTCTGCTTATCCATGAAATGATAACCAACCATAACATTGATATCATGGGCCTTTACAAAACCTGGCTAAAGCCAAATGACTTTGTAAGCCTGAATGAGGCATCACCCCCTAGCTACACCAGCCTGCAAGTGTCTCGTGAATCATGAAGAGGTGGGGGCCTAGCTGCTATATACTTACGTTCTTATGTTGTATGTCAGGGACTACGGATGGAAATTAGCTCAAAGCTAAAATCTGGCATATTTACACTTGAAGCATTATTTGTCTTAAGTGTTCATTAATGTGCATTGTCCCTATTCAAATAAACGATTAAATGAAATGAAAAATATACAGCTCTGGTTCTCTGTCACTAAATCAAATTATTATGACTGGTTTTACATCCTTTGAATGACTTCTTATGCATGCAAATGAAGAATCCTTTTATATAGGAATTGTTTACCGACCACCTGGGCCTTATTCACAATTTTTATCTGAGTTTGCTTCTTTTCTCTGTGGCATATTTACACGATCAGACAATCTTATAATCATGAGAGATTTCATTTTTCATATCGAGGATAATTCTGATCCAGATCTCATAGACTCTACTGATTTCACATAACACGTCAATGTACCCACTCACGTCCATGGTCACACACTTGACTTAGTTTTAACACGTGGCCTTACCCTCTCAGACATGACTGTCACCACATCTACCTGCACTTTCAGATCATTACGTCTTTACTTTTAGGAGCACGCTACCTTTTAGTCGTATTAATAGCCATTCTGAAACCTATACTACCCGTCGTACTGACTTGACAACTGTTCATACACTTGCTGATAAACTCAAATCTTCTATCATCACCATCGATCAACGAGCTCACTGACACTCTCAATCATGTTTTGCTGGATGCCTTTAACTCTTTTGTACCCCTCTTATAAAAGGAAAACCAGACCAAAACCATCACCCTGGTACAACCAAGGTCTATGAAACAGAAATGCAGAAAACTGGAACACAAATGGAGAACAACCAAACTCAAAAATGTTCCACTCGAGTGGTCCAACTGCCTCTGTGAAAATAAGCGCACTCTTCGCTCGGCTAGAACAAAGCATTTATCTGAACTCATCCAAAACAACAAAAATAACTCAAAATGTCTCTTTACGATACGATACACTTTATTGTCCCCGTAAGGACATTTGTTCTGGACTCCGTCCTGTAATTCCGTATACATGTACATATACAAACATAGTAAACATTTCGGAACATTTCAAAGATTCGTCCCATGCTTTCCCTAGCCGATGCTGAAACTTTAATCCATGCTTTTGTTTCATCTCGGTTGGACTACTGCAATTCACTTTTCTCCAGGCTACCAAAATCAACAACCGCCTAACTACAACTGGTTCAAAACACAGCTGCCAGGATATTAACCAGAACCAGAACATTTGATCATATCACCCCTGTTCTCATTTCATTGGCTCCTGATTCACATAAGATCAGACTTCAAGATTTTACTGTTAACCTTTAAAATCTTACATGGACTAGCACATCCATCTATCATCATTAATTACCCCGCGAATATCTACCAGGCTCCCACGATCACATAATGCAAGTCTCCTTTCCATCCCCAGAATTCACAAATCATCTGTAGGTGGCAGAGCCTTTTCATTCCGAGCACCTCACCTTTGGAATCGTCTTCCATTTCAGATCCGCAAAGCTATTTCCGTTGACTCCTTTAAAAGCAAACTCAAAACCCTTCTCTTCGCATCTGTCTTCCTTATCAACTAATTTCCATCACCTAGTTTCCATCTACATTAGCATCACTTCAGACTAGGGCTGTCAGTCGATTAAATCGCATGATTGTCCATAGTTAATCGCAAATTAATCGCACATTTTTTATCTGTTCTAAATGTACCTTAGAGGAATATTTTTCAAGTTTTTAATACTCTTATCAACATATGAGTGGACAAATATGCTTTATGCTAATGTTTATTATCATTTGAACAATGACAAATATTCTCATGAACAACAAACAACTTCTGAACATTACAAATATTCGCCTCAATTCAACCTGGAACCTCTCATACAATAATACAATACAAATGGTGTGTGTGTGTGTGTGTGTGTGTGTGTGTGTGTGTGTGTGTGTGTGTGTGTGTGTGTGTGTGTGTGTGTGTGTGTGTGTGTGTGTGTGTGTGTGTGTGTGTGTGTGTGTGTGTGTGTGTGTGTGTGTGTGTGTGTGTGGTGTGTGTGTGTGGTGTGTGGTGTGTGGTGTGTGGTGTGTGGTGTGTGGTGTGTGGTGTGTGGTGTGTGTGTGTTGGAGCTATGTGCAACTCAAGGCATATGCTCGAACGGGAGCTGCCTGGACGCTGGACGCTGCAATCATGTTGCGCACTATCCGTGCTGAGTGTGCTGACTTTTCGTACAATGTCCCACTGTCTGGCTTCCTGCATAAAGTCAAGTGCTCGGCGCAGTTGTGGCGAAATGTCGCTCCTATTTTCATTTAAACAGCTCCTTATATCCGTTAGCGCAGCTAGCTAGCACCAGATGCTAACAACAACAATGCACGTAATGTCTCTCTCTCGCTCGCTCGGGCCACACATACACACACCCTCCCGGTCCTCCCGATAGCCAGTCGGTGCCTGCCGGTGAGCGTGGAAGTGTGGTCTGCCACAAGCGGGCGGCAGGAGCGGGGCTGTCAGCATCAGCTTGTAGATGGTATTTTAAACTCGATGCGCTCTGAAACTACGGGGCGGCCGAGGAAAAAAAATACACATGCGTTAATCGCGTTAAAATAATTAGTGGCGTTAATTTTTTTTGCGTTAACGCGTTATTAACGCGTTAACTTGACAGCCCTACTTCAGACACATGCTTTTATCACATGGCAATACTTATGTTGTTGTATAAAGTTGTATAATGTTTTCATGATTTTTATGCTATGACGTTTGTATTTTGTTTTTGTCTTTGCTTTTGTTTGCTTTCTACAGCCCTTTTGAGGCATTTATTGTGATTTGGGGCTATAATACATTTTGATTTGATTTGGTTTGATCTAAAAAAACAAAAGGCTTTTCTTGAATATTTGTATTTTGTTTTTATTTTCTCAAACTTATCTTCTCATCTGCAGTAACGGTGGTGGTCGCAGTGGGACCCTCTGTGCCAGCAACATTCTCCTTGAGATGATCCAGTACCAGAACATGGTGGACATCTTCTATGCAGTCAAAATTCTACGCAACTGCAAACCCAATATGGTGGAGTCCCTGGTGAGAGCGTCTGTAAATAAATAAACTGTGTGTTTTCAATTGGCAAGAATATGCCTATGATTATGTTATTTTATTATTTTTAATTGAAGAATATTGTATTTTTCCTCAGGACCAGTATCGATTCTGCTATGACCTTGTCCTGGAGTACTTGGACTGCTTTGAAGGGAGATAGCAACCAAATGTTCACCACAGTGAAGACATCCCGTCAGCTGGAGATTCAACTGAAAGCCCCCCAGAGACCCCTCTACTTTAGTGTTTGGACCTATGGTTTGAACGGACTGCAAAGAAAGAGAGAAGAAAAAAAAACAAGATCAAGGTTCTAACTTTTAACCTTTAATGTACAGCTGTGATTTCCTCCTTGTTGGTGATGTTTATCTCTTTTGATATTTTTTGTGCTTTTCTTGGTCCTCTTTGCCTCCGGACTAAAGCTCTTTTGTGCGGAGGGTCTCTGTAGCAGCCAAACAATATTCTGAGCAACAAAATGGACCTGTCTATTCTGAAGAGGGGCTTTGTTTCATTGTGTTTAAAAAGCGATGGGGGCTGGATGAAAGTGCAGAGTCACAGCAGAATTATCTAAACGTGGAAGCATTCTATTCTCTTTCAAGAGCTACATACAACAGCAGTGCTCTGCGGTTGTGGCATGACTTATCTACCATACCATAAACTGCCTTAATCTCTATTGATAGGACAGATTATTCAAATCATTGAATACATCTAAAAGGTTTTCCTATTGGTGAACAAACAGCAACAAGATATTTTAACAAGGACCTACAGCATTAGGATAGCCCAGCCCTCAACAGTGTTGATGCAGAAGCTGTACAGTAGTGCAATGTGTTGTATTTTGCCATAATGTTTGTGCTGGATTACCATGTGTGCTATTGGTGGATGTTTCCAGGGACCACAGCACCGGGCCTGGTGCCACCACTGAAGATTCCTGTCTCATTACTGTCACAGTGCCAATCCCATCGACTGACTTGAATCCTCTCTTTACTTTGCTCCACTGCTTCATCTTGATGTATGCCTACGAAGATACACTATGTACTGCATCAGCTATTGTTCTCGCTCCAAAGTGATTGTTTGTATTTTATATCCAGCGGGAAGGAAAAAAGGACGAGGAGAGAGAGGGGGGGAATCTGCTGGAAATGTACTGACATGCCATCGTGATGAAAAATAATGTTCCATTAATGCCGTGGTGAAGTGTCTCAACCAGTGCTGCGTTTCAGGTTTGAGTCTGTGGCTCCTTTTACTCTTGTTGTCTGAGGCATTTGGTTGTACTGTAAAGCAAGCGTAACCAGTTTGAATTGTATCACCACCCTTTCAGGAAGGGGGTTCATTTTGATACGTTTTGACATGAATTTCAGTTGTTGTTCCTAGTGGTGTAAAATAAATAAATCAAATATATATAAATAAAAAGGGGCATTTACATTTTGCAGAGGGAAAAATGCTACTGCATGACCGCTGGTGTTCTCCCAATAGTGGCCATCTTACCTATCCTGCAATAATAATAATGGTATACAAGAGCAACAATAAGAAATACTGCCCACAGACCCTGCTGTTAAGATACCACTGGTCTGACCAAATTAAATGCATTTGTTTTCACCTAGCAGACGAGGCATGCTGACCTTTAGTGTTGTAAATGCCCTGATCAATTGAAGAACATCAGGCAGTATTATCCACATAATGGTCAGCTAGTGAAATGAACCAGGAAGCTATTTCCTTTGTATTTTTTAACATTACAGTATGTTCAAGAAAGTATCTATTTCTCACTTCGTTATTGCCCTTATAAATATGTTATGCACCACCATATCTCCTGACATTTTTACAAGTGCAGGATTTCAAGACAGGCATTAAAGGTATCACTCCAGGACCTGCCCTTATAAACAAGGAGAGACACCTTGAAGCCCACAGAAACTGAGAAATGGCAGCTATGCGAACTCTGTTGCTAGTTCGCAGCTCACAGTCTGGTTCAGATGGGAGTGCCAGGGTATGTGAGGAATCTAACCATGTTCAAACATCACCAGGCTCCCACAGCTCACTGATAGAGCAGCTTGTTTTTTGATGAGGATGAAGAATGGGGTAGCTACATTGTGGTCAGCGATCTGACCCAGGATCACTGCAGGAAGTGCCTGGACACTTTTTCTCGAGGGTAGAAGGAATGTGTACATACAGATGTATATTATGTTATGTGAATACTATGTGAATAATATACTATATGTTTGCCAAGAGTAAAGACGTACAGTAAGTAACCATTACATAGCCACCAAGGTGAATGTGCTGTAAATGACCATTTTGTGAGTTTATTGCCAGAACTTTTAACAGCCGAGTGTGAACTGAGTCTCCCTGATGGTTCATTCCTCTGAGTAAAACAGGTCTGTCAAAGCATGTATGGATCTATTGTCTGCTTTGTATTTCATTTAGTTACTTTCAGTATATCCTGATCCACATAGTTTATTTCAACAGCTTTGTTTTCAGACTGTGTGAGCGCAATGTACTTTTGCCATTCCAAAGCTTTCTATTATGACGGCTCTCTAAACGACGATTGCCGCTGATTTCACATGTGTGTTTCTGTATGAAGCGATGGTACATGACATGAACCTTGTATTTGTGGGCGCAGTTTGTATATTTAAAGAGAGAGACGGAGGAGATGGATGTATTTTGAGGTCGGGGAAAAAGGGTTGGTTCTGAAGAATAACAGTGATCAACAATAAAAGAAGGGAGAAAGAGACATATTGTTGTCAACTCATCATTGGGTGTTCTGTCAGAAAAGCATACACAGCAACACAAAAAGCCAGTGTGTTTTTTTTTATGGTTTGTCAGCAGAAGCAAAGAATTGAAAGCTGGACATGGACTTCCTGTCTACGAACCTCTGACCCTTCTGCGGTTTCTCATACGGATGTGGTCTTTTAGTTGTTACCCTTCGCTTTGAACCACATCAACCATTTGATCTCTCTCTTCTTTTTAAGCTCTCTCTTTATTTCTTTCCCCTTTCCCCCCTTTCATCACCCTCCTCCTCTCACCTTCCCCCTTCCTCAACTCCTCTTCCATTACTTTCATTTCTCCCTCTCATCCTTCTCCATCTGTCTCGCTTTGCCGCTCGGCCCAGAGTAAGGTGACTCCAGACCACAGACTTCCTCTCACCCACGGCTACGTTGAATAATGCAGCAGTCCTGCAAACTGATCCAGTGTTTAGCAGGGGGACAAGCCGGATTAATTAGAGGACAAGAACCCCTACTGTTGGGATGAAGACAATGCAGGCCCTGTGGATTTGCATTTAACACATTTGGAGATTGATAAACCTTAAAAACAAGTTCAGATATTGTTAATGTAAAAAGTTCCTTTGATAAGATTTTTCATTTGTCATGACAGTGAGCAGGAGAACAAATGCATTATAGATTTAACATGACATGGATAAGGAGCTTTTTCATGGAGGCAGGTCATTTACACTATCCTATTTTAATCTAAAAGATTTTCTCAATTTCCTTTTTCACCTGCAGAAAAGTAATACAACCTGAAATTCTTAGCGGCAGGCTCCATCATCCTCGTCTCAAATGTGACCGGTGGTTTAAATTAGAAGGTAATTGGAATCTTATCATTTAATTCTGAGGGTGTAATGACAGCCATGTGTAAGGTAACTATCATGGGGCCGAGATCCAACTGGGTTTTGTCTTTTCTCTCTGGACTTCCTGTCTAATATTCCTCCACCGACAGGCCTGGTGGATGTCTCTCCTGGTCTCTCTGGTGAGCTTCACAGTAGATACACTCTCATCTGGTGTTTCTGTGAAAGGGCCACCACTTCAGCTGATATAAAGAAAGAGGGCAAGGTACAGTATAGTGATAACCGCCTTGAATATTCGTTTTCCACCTTTATTTGTCTGACCATTTATCAAATATATTTAACCAACTTTTTCAACTGTTTGTCAACAACTACTTCTCCATTCATTCATTAACAAACTTTTATCTAAATATTTAAACCATTCCTTCACTTCACCATTTAATTACGCTAAGTATAAGCTTTTTAACTTTGACCAATTTTAGACAACCATTTTATTTAAATTTGTTACGATGTATCCATTCATTTTACTGCTTGAACAAATGACTTAACGTTAACTATTTCTCCTTTTTATCCATGAATAATAGACAATTATTTCATATAATTAACCATAACTTGCAGATAGTTCTTTTTATATTTTGTTCAATGTATTTGAATCAGTGATTAAGTAATTACAGGACAGGTGAAGATAATTAAAGTGTTACAAAAAAGATAATTAAGCCACAAAATATCTCTTCTAGCTAACTCTCTGCTGGCTTACTATCTTTCTTATTAGATTTTATTCATTAGCACTAACAAAAAAAAGCATTTAATGTGTTTGAACTTCGTTAAATTAGTGGAAGATTTGTATTTGGATAGATATTTGTATTATGATAATAAAAAATCTCGATTTTTGTGTCTGGGGGAAAAGTACCTCAGGTTGAAAATAACTGCTCTGAAAACTGTGCTCGCTTTGTTCCAAATATCTACAGACAGGCTGAATACCTCCTGGAAGGTTTTAGCTTTGGCTAAATGTTCTGTCTCAAAGCACAGTGGTGTTTCTGACTCAATATTAAGCGTTTCTTATTTCATGCTAAATACTTTACTAAAAGATGCCGATAAAATCCAATATTCTTGTGGAGAGAATTGTCACAAAAGCTTTTGCGGGTGACCTTGCCCAAGCCTCAGTCGATAAGAAGAAAGCAGAGATGCATGCATATCCTTTAACATGGCATGGAAACAGTGTTAAAGGCTTTTTAAAAAGGAAGAGAGATTGGGATCAATGTGCTTTCTTGGAAACAATACAGATTTGTAAACGGGCCGCTTTTCTCTGATGAGAAATTCTTCTCCATTTTCCTAATAAATGCAAAATGTGAAATGTGAACACATACAGTATCTTGTCTTACCAACATGGTGGTGCTCAACTTCTGCTGAATAGAGCAGCAGACAAGACAGGTAGCTCCAGCTCTGTGTTCATCAGAGCGAGGACGGAGAGGAGCTGGCCAGATGGCTCTTTCCACCATGTTTCCTCACTGGTTCCACTGCCACGCTCGGCCAGACTGGAGCCCTTATCTCAGCAGTGTGCTCCCAGTTCAGTGAAAGTTATGGTTCAAGAGAGGGAGCTCCCTATGGTTCCAGCCCCGAATGCTCAGGCAAACAAGAAGCTCGAGACAGATAACCAGAATCACAGCACACACGAATGACTCTACCGTCCCCCTCCTCTTTATCACACTTACCTTTTGCTGTCACAAACCCTTGCAGTACGTTGCCTCTACCATGGACACAAGCCACCTTTAATTTAGGATGCTTTGACCTGTATCATTTCAAGGCCTTGCACGCATAGTTGAATCAAGCCAGTGGAGGGAGACTTAATGTGTGGCATGACATGGCCACCGTAAAATAAAACAAGGCAAAGGGTAGCTGTAAAAGTTTGGGAAGGTATAGTGCTGAAATATCAAGGATTTACACAGAAAATCAGTCTCTACCAACATCTCTTGATAAAAATACAATCTCAGGTGAGGCGGAGACTGAAGTTGTTTTTCCCCAAGGATAATCTCTTGTTGTTAGTACACATTGAGAAATGTTGGGCCTTGGGGGTTCTCGGGAAACGCTTCTTCTTGACATCTTATGTCAACATGAACCATTTCTAGGTTGTGGCAATAAAGCATCTCCAAGCTGCCATCAATTTGAGGGATGGGCTTATCAAAAGGTCAGGCCTTTGAGGGACTGGCTTAGCAACTGGATTTGTCCTACCGTTTATTTAGAGCAGAACAAATTGGGCTGCAAGCGACAAGTAATATCAGTCATACTTCATTGTGATCCTTGACAAAACTTCAACAAAAACAGAAGTCTTTCTGATTTCCTTTAAAGTCAAATAACAATAACTGCGAATGTTTACTGTCATGAATACACTGTTACATGTTCCTTTTAAGTGATTTAAAAATAGAGTATAAAGAAATTGTAAATACACTTACACTAATTGCCTTTCTTGTAGCTGTAAGCACTTGTGTCAGAGACGGTGACAATTACAAGATGAGTGTTAAGTGTTAATTGCTGCCTTTGTTTTTGTGGCAACTGATAGCACAGGTTGTGTTCTTTTAAATATTATTTCAAAGACAGGACTCTGGTTAAATGAAACCTGTTAAGGCACTTAAAAACAACAAAGTATAGACTTCTTCTTCAAGTGCGTATAGGTTTTTACTCTTTAAGTGTTTATTTCATCCACCTCTCTCTTGTCCTTCCTCCCTCACGTCTTTATCTCCCTTGTGCTCTCTGTCTTCTTTCCCGTATTCTCCTCCAGCACTTGTTGAAATAAATGCAACCACAGGAAGACAGTTGTGCAACTGATAGTACTACATTAACCTCGGGGAGGACAACAGGCGTCCTCTACTGCCTCATCTCTCTTCTACACCAGGCACCCTCCAGTGCAGGATGCTGTAACCCCAGCACCCCTCCATCCCACCACACCCCTGGAGCCCTGTGTCCTCCGGTTCATGCAGCCCTGTATCTTACTTCTGCCATGGCTGAGTAATGTTAAGCTTGAGAGTGTGCTTCTCTGCATCCTGAATGAAAATGTGGGCCACAACTCCTTCTCAACACTTTGTTTTTCTCACTTACCAAGAGTTATTTAAAATTCCCTCATTAGTGCGAATGCTGTTTACAGCATTCCACTATAGTTCTTCAAATCTTTATTCTTCCCCTTATTTCAGCCAATACTTTGGCTCTCCATAACTTCAGCTTATTTTAAGCTACAGAAACCATTCAAATATTAAACTATTCAGCCTGTTCAGGAATCGATGGGAAACCTTCAACTTTTTCAAAATATTTTATACTTTTTGAAATATTCAGCTTTTTAAACTCTTTTTTTAACATTGAAGTCAATGGAAGATGCCTTCAAATCCTGTTTTCCTACACTTTGCGCTAAATGCTTCTCCTTCCACATAATTTCAGCCAAACACTTCATTCCAACTTTCAAATGATCACAATACCTTCAGCTATAAAACTTGTATAAAAGATTTTTGATATCTTTTCAACTTTTTGAGATATTTAATTTAGTTTGGAGCTTGGTAGAGAGGCCTTTTTCAGATGTTAACATTACAGTGGATGGAGCAGCTCGTTAACTCTAGAGTGCTTTGATCTCAAAACAGGGTGCAGCAGTGCCTGAAATTCTCCCCCAAAAATGTTTTAAACTTGCCATAATTCCCAAACCCTACACTCCTCAGACATATTTTTTCATGGAAAACGTAGGAAAACCTCTCCTAGGATGAAAAAAAAAAAAAAAAAAATGCCTCTTGAGGGCATGAAGTGACAAAAACGTTCAACATTCCTCCATTGAAGCCCATTGTAATGTCAGGCAGATATTTCCTCACGGTAGCAGCCGCACACCTTTAGTTAAACTGCCAAAAAGGCTGCATTATTAACCCGAAACTACACAAAAATTACACTTCAGATACTCAACTTCCTTGACATGCTTCACGTTTTGAAATTTCACAGATATCTGTTACGGTTCTTCCACAAAACGTTCACATGTAAGAGGTTTATCTCTCATTCAGAACAATGGACACCTGTGATCTCTACAGAGCTCGTTAGTTCAAATATAAACACCTGAGTAATGGAACACGATGATGTCATCACTCCAACTGACATGCAGCAGACTTCAGCAGTCCAGCCGTGAAAACATCTTCGGGACAGTTTTGAG